CCAAGAAGAGATTTCTTTCCACATGGTGTTACCCGCAATTTTTTTCTATTTTATCTCATCCGCCATGCAAAGCTTCAAGTCATATACAGCCTGTCTCCAAAAAAAATGGTACAATCGAAAAAAAAAAATTTTTAATATTAAATATTAAATCGTTTTGAGCATCACTTTAAAGAAAAGAGACCAGGCTTTCCAATACTTTTTGTTTTATCTCATTTGCTTTTGTCAATCCAGAGATAACTCCAGTTACTGCGGAACACAAAAATCGAGTTTGTGCCACACTGTTCGAAACAACGCTGCCCATGCATAAAAGTGGCACAAAATCGATTTTGGTGTATCGCACTAAATTGATTATCTCTGAATTGACAAAAGCTAATCAGATCAAACAAACACTATTGGAAAGCCCAGTCTTTGTTTTTTAATATTATGCTAAGTAAGAATGACTTATTTTGTAATTTCATATTTAGCCAATTTTTTTCTGATTGTACCATTTTTTTTAGACAGGCTGTAAAGTGCAAAAACTGTTGATAATGAATGACGATTTCGTCTATGTAGTTACTCTTTTTTCCCCCAAAAATTACAATTGTCTGTTCTAAATGATAGCAATTTCACCGGTACGATCCTTAAACCAAATTAAGCCTTTTGACGATAATTTAAATTACGTTTTGGGCAAATGCAAATGATCCTGCCTGAAAACTGACCGTCCGTGATTCCGTATGTCACTGATGTACCTCCAGCCATATAAATACTATTTTCTCTCGTTGAACCATGTTTCTGTCTTTAAGCCCCGCCAGGCTTGCCATAAGGCATTGCATGTGATCTAGCCATTAACCTTGTTAAATCCCTGCTCAACTAGGCTTTCAAAACCAGCCCCTTCTCTCTTTTCGACTAAATAATTTTCTTACCTCTTACACTAGAAATGGTATGTTCTTTCAAAATCGATGGATTTCAATTTATCAATCAGGGTCGTCGTTGAGGACCAACACCTTTTCAACGTCAGCATCAGTCCAAGTGCCTGCCGTTGACAGTCAGGAAGCATACACGTGTGAGGCAATGGGTGTTGAAGGCAAAGACCAACGCATAATAGTACGCCTTACCAAAACTCATCACATTCAATCATCCAACAATCTAGGTAGGTAAAGCAGTGTCGTGTCGGTGCCATTTTTGAGGGGTTAACTATAAACTTGTTCAAATCGGTAACCAGATGTTTTTACACGGTAAGAATTGGAAATCTAAGCATTGAGAGGAACTTTAAAAATCTTAATACAGTGAAAGATAAATGTGTGAATGGGTAAAGTGCCAATAAAATCAAGGAGTGAAAATATGCGCATAGAAAACCTCGTCCCCAGTGGTTACTATATTGTCGACCTCTTTTCCATGATGTGGGGAATTTCCAGTGCAATAAAGATGCAGTAAGACCTTTGTGCAACTTTACTGGTCATTTCTTTTTCATGTTCAGTAATAGGACTGAAGTCGCGCATGCGCACCGGTTTCCCCCATTTTTTTCCGAGGAGAGGTCCGTGGGCGATATTGGTTGGTCGTGATAGCGCCCCCTCGCGGCGGCGGGTTATCGCGTATCAAACCATCAACGTCTAGCCCCTAGACTAATAAACCCCTTGCAAGGTGCGCCCTTAATGAGAAGTATGTTTGTTTATTTTTGTTTTTTTAATTCAGTGACAATACAAATATAAATACGAATATGTATACGAATGCGTATCGCACATAGCAGGGGGAAAACGGTCCTCGGATGTGACGTCAGACGCAAGGGGTCTATTGACCTATCGCGTTAGAATCGCGTTAGCATTGCGTCAACGCAGCTAGTGAAATATTGTCCAATTAAATGATATACAAATGGACGCGGAACGCGCAAAATCTGAGACAAACAAAACTTAGTATACACAAAATTTCATAGGGTTGTCTAAGGGGCGTGGTTAACTTGCAAACGGCGATAGACCAATTGGTTGGAACAATGAAACTTGTAGATTTGGTCATCTGATTCCAGTATAAAGATATCGATTGAATCAAGCCAGACATCAATTGAAGTAAGTCAGCCATCAATTGAATCAAGTCAAGTATCAATTGAACCAAGTCATATATTACATCTGAGTGCCGTTTGTCTCTTTCAGGAACAACGCTTGTCTGGGCTGACGAAGTATCACCAACTGCTAACAAACCTGCTCAGAATTACTCTTCTGTGCTAGAAGTCGGAGTTATTTTAGCATTTATCATCACTGTCTTTCTGTGCATCCGTCTGGTAAGTAGGGTTGTGGACGAAATATTTCCAACTTTAATGACCCCTAACATCAAATATTTCTTATCCTATACCTCCACAAATGTTGGTAAATTATGTTTTGGACCACGAGCAATTGCTCGAGGCTATTTGTGACCTTAAAATTTGATTTGCCTCCAAAATCATATTCAAGTTGAAGGATTCAGGACTGTTAGGCTTAAATTTATGACGTACCGGAAGGGGAAGAGGTACTTGATGGTCGTGCGTAATCATGTTTTTGAATACTCCAAAAACTTCTTTGTTGTAGTCAGATCAGTGAGTTCTTTTTCCAATTGTAGTGGACTTACGTGCGTGCCTAAATCAGGTTGAAATTGGGCCGTCCCAAATAACAGGGAAATATTTTCGTCCGGATGGTACAACATATTTTTTTCCGTATAAATCATGTTTAACCCATCTGTAAAGTCAATACACTTAATATAATCAACTTCATGATCAGCTTATTATAATAAGCTCAGTATGTTGTTGTACACTGATTGTTATAAATGCAGGTATATTTACAGAAGAAAGTCAGTGAATCCAATCGTGCATCGAAGAGGAGGCATGAGGCACCAGTGAAAACTACTTCCGGCGAAAACCATGAAATGCAGCCACTTAAGCCAGAAGGGTCAATTTCTGCAGTGTGAATCAAGTTTCTGAAGTGTGTAAGTTGCATCTTGGAAACCAGACCGTGTGCCCTTGTGTAAACAAATGTAAGTGATTATGTGTAGCAGTGGCGTAGCAAGGTCATTTTGATTGGGGAAGGGGGGGGGGGGTATGCAAAAGGGCACTTACACATCCGTGCTATTTATGTAGACACGATTGGGTTTTTTTTCTCCAGACTCTTGGCCTCCGTTGTCACGGTCTCACTTCTCCGGCGTGCTAGCTTCTCCGCCGAGGGAAATTTCGCCTAAACACGCATGCGCAAGTTGCGCAGTAGTGAACATTTCGCCAACTTTATTGTGTGCTGAGTCATTTGGGGTTGTACGGGTGCACGCGAGATCTTTGGATATTTGTATGTACAAATGTATACGTTACAAGGTACCAGTCGAATCCAGAATTTTCGTAGGGCGCGGAACTCCCAATACACTGTACATGTAAAGATGTGAAGGATACACATGGTTGCAAAAATAAAGACAACCATGAACGAGCAAGGAACACAGACCTTTCACAGACACTGCAAGGAGCCATGCACAGACCAAGGAGTTCGTTCTTAATTATTCTTCCATACACACACGTACACACCCACGCTGTTGCAAGACCATGGAATGACCCAGGCAAAATACTCCAGTCCTCTCTAAGCTTGACCCACAGGAAGTGTTACATAACACATTCTTGGGTGGACTTGGTAGGCTCCATAGCACCGCCCGAAGAAAAGTAAGCACAGCGGACACATGAGCATGTATCGTGCTCATGTAACGTGCACTGCAACGTGCTCAATTATCCGCCGCATTCACCCGGAGAATCCAGCACGCCGGAGAAGTAAGACCGTGACACCGTAAAATCAAACTGAAACTAAGGGGGGGGGGGGGCTGGTACCATCTATTGATGGGAGCGATGTTCAAAACCGACGATTATGCACACTAACGGACAATATAAGGTGTTTTCCAGGGCAATGCATGCGCGAAATTCAAACAAAGACACAGAATAGCCGCTGGCACAAAAATAGGGCAGGATTTTTTTGAAGAAGGGCACTTGTTCAAAAAAAAAGAACTTTTTAATGAAAGAAGGGTACTCTTTACAAATATTTGGGGGAGCGCTGGTGAAAAAAGGGCATTTGAATGGAAACGGGCAGACCTTACAAAATATGGGGGGTGAATACCCCCGCTGGCTATACGCCTATGTGAAAGTAAAACTGTGACCTTAAGAATGAATTGATAATATGATTTTATGAGTAGGCCTACTGAAATGTGTTTGATTGCTTGCCGATGACAAGTATTTTTAAGAGGATATCAAAATTACAAAATCTAACTTTGAAAAAGGGACTTCAATAGTTGTATAATGTAATATTACAACGTTAATATTTTCAATCTGCTATTTATTTCCTGATATCTATGGGTTTTTGTGCATTAACGTGTATTAACACAGAACAGAAATTGAAAAGTTATTATAATATATTGTTTGTACAGGTCAATATTATGAATAAGTATCGGGGTGTATGGTAAGGTACTTTAGTGAGCCTAAAAGTTGATTACTTATTAATCAACGTTTGGTTGGTTTTTGTTTTTCTGTTCTACTTTTCTTACCTGCGATGCTTTTTTTTCCGGTTTTCCTTTTATTGTTTTAGGCCTATACAAAGTAACCAAGGACGGTATTCTTAACAAGTAATACTAATTAATGTAATTAATTTCATGTTTTAATAACTTTCAATTTAAGAACATTATGCTGGAGCAGATAGAGAGCCAGAGTTCATATTTCATACGTTTTGAGGAAAATGTTTTCCATCCATTATCTTCAAGTTAATATCAAAATGTGACAAGACAGCAGTACCTGACCAAGGGAATAAAAACGACGTTGACAGCACCAGTTAAGTTAAACAGAGAAATCTGATTTGTAGAAAAATGTCAGTAGTGTTTACTTGGATGGAAAACGAGAAGTAGCCCTTTATGTTAAAATGTAATGAATTTAAAACACTTTAGAAATCTTTTCAGTAAGCCTCTCTGTTTATGTGATTAAATAATGTATATATGTGTTTTGGTATTTGTTATCCGGAATAATGGCAATTTAGCAATAAGCGAAAGCTACTAGAGATTTTGTTTCATGTCCGAGTATTTGTTCCTTGATGCAACTTTTCGCAATAAAAAAGCTTGAATAATCAATAATCAAATGTCTATAGCTGCTCTTTTAGAAATTAATGCCTCTTTGGGTCATCGCACCATTCATCAGCATCTCCCAAAAAGAGTAAGGCACGTGTCCGATTTAAGACGATTATTTTTGTCCAGATGAAATCACAAGAGGGCGGTATGGACGTCCACCATTTCTCACAGTCACGCCATCATCGCCCAGAACACGGCGAAAGCCAAGAGGAAGATGCTGCTTGAAACTGCAAGAAAACAATAAGAAATATCAAGAGCTTGCTTTCAAATCTTGGGGCTACTTTTAAGAAGAAACATTGTGGTGATATCCTACTCAAAAAAATTAAGTTTTCGGCGAGAATTCGGCGGGTCCCGAAGAGTATAACGGAGGGCATGATATGATAACACACATTTCGTTTTGTTTGTTACAAAAATCTTGTTTTAAAGGGAAAGCATCATAAAATGTCAAGAGGGCGCCCTCTTGACATTTTAGATGGCCATATTGCCTGCGTCATGTCACATCATATTGCCAAAGACGGTTGTGATAAGTTTCTGGCACCCAGTAATAATTCAAGCAACGTTTGAACTTCAGACACACCTTTGACGTTGTAGATTTAGCTGGTCAAAAACATCAAAACTTGAGGTTCGTTCATCAACCTATATAGCTATCTCCTGTTTAAAAAGGCATTTTTTTAACCAAAATATGTCAATCTTCCCTGAAATTGTTAAATGATAAACTCCTCAACTTTGTAGACAGAAAGTGAACTTAGTGGGATAAATTTCGTGTTTACCAAACATTTTCCAAGAAGAGCCTGGGTGTTTAATACAGTTAGAAGATTATTGACGAAATTTTTCACCCAACTTCCTTCTGGTAAATCCCCCAAATTTCAAGGCAGAGGCCTGCCGTATACATACCCAGGCTAGGTGCAGCACTGTACGACAGAGGCTGTGATTTCACGCCTTCCCAGTAAACGCTGGCTGGACCCCTCACGATGGTTGCCCTGGAGATGACAAGAATTATCCCAGAGTTATCTTGCTTTGATAGGACAATTTCACGAAGAATTCTGCTTCCGAAGACATTTTTCACTGTTATTTCGGTTGTGTAAAAATCAAACGGTTGTGTACTATATGAACCTAGCAACCCGTTGTGTAAACTGTTGTTTACACAACTTGTGTAAAATATTACACAACTTGTTCAATTTTTTTACACAACTGGTTGCTATAGGTTCATATAGTACACAACCGAAATAACAGTGTTGTTTTAATGAGCCATTTGTGACAACCAAATACACAGAAGAGCTTCAGCAACACTTACTGGAATGCAACAGATCCTTGATCATCGGATGGCGGCATCCACGTTGCAGTTATCTCCCTCTTGGCATTCTTGTTGTTGTGGGACCAGGCTCCCTATCGGACCAATCAAACAAGCACGATGATTCAAACTTTCATAAGCACTCAAACCCAATAACCAACCGACCAACCGGCTGACTGACTGAAGAACCGAAACACGTCTGTAAAATAAAACTCATCAGCTCGACCACGCAACGAAACAGTCAACTGATAAACACTCGCTTTCTACCGAGCAACAATTTAGAGTAAAAAAAAATACCGTTATATTGAAAGTGTTGAAAGTGGAATGGAAATGTAATCGATTGGATATAGTTAACTCTAAAATGTCTTGGAAGAATTCCTCCATTAGGTATTGCGGACTATTTGAGGCATATGAGGGCGCTTCTTAGTTTGGGTAAATACAAAAGACTTCACCAAATCAAACAGCGCCCTCATATTGTGTCCGCCACACTCTGAATATGCTAATGTTTTAATTCCTCCATGGTTGGATAGAGTGAATGTTGTCACTTTCGAATATAAATAAGAGAACAACCACATTTGTGATCACTAAATTTATACGCAAACTAAACCGACCACTAAAGCATGAAAACAATAAGACACCAATAACAAAAGTTTATCGGTTGATAAGCTCCTGATAAGTGAATAGTACAAACATTTTGTTCTGAGGATGAGCACTTGATGGAAATCATATTGTGTAAATCGAGAAATTGAGTATAGCTTTCTCACCGCGGCGGAGGTGCAGGCAAGAACTTGCGATCCTTCAGGAACGTTGCTGAAAGTTCCAAGAGCATCCATCTTAGCCGAGTCTGATTGGCTTCTTGCCTGAACGAAGAAACCGGTGAAGGTTACTCCCTGGTTGGCGCGGAGTGTTACTGATGTGAAGAAAAAAAGAAAAGCAGCTTTGTTTGAATTATGATGATGATGATGGTGATGATGTCGTTATGGGTAAAAAAAAAGTGGGGTCAGCTAGCTATAGGTGCTGATGGGTTGGGCTGGGCAAGGCTGGGTTGAGCTGGCCTGGGCTGGGTTATGCCTATGCTGGGCTGGGCTGGGTTGGGATGGAACCAGATGTGAAGGGAATGGCTTGGCTTATAGCGGGGCGAGGCTAGGCTGGGTTGTGCTGGACTGGGCTGGTTTATCCTGGGCTGGGCTGGGATGGGCTGGGCTATGCTAGGCTGGGCTTGATTGGGCTGGGCTGGATTGGGCTGGGTTGGGATGGAATGAGATGTGAAGGGATGGGCTTGGGGCGAGGCTAGGCTGGGTTGTGCTGGACTGGGCTGGTTTATCCTGGGCTGGGCTGGGCTATGCTAGGCTGGGCTGGTTTGGACCGGGCTGGGTTGGGCTGGGATGGGCTGGGATGGAATGAAATGTGAAGGGATGGGCTGGGCTTATAGCGGGGCGAGGCTGGACAGGCCTACTCCATATAGGTTGGGATGGGAGGCACGGGGTGGGGAAGGGCTAGGCTGGGTTGGGCTGGGTTGGGCTGGGTTGGACTGCATGGGCTCGGCTTGACTGGGATGGGGCTGAGCTGGAGTTGAACTGACCTAGGTTGCATGGGCTGGGTTGGGCTCGAATGGGATGGGATGGGTTGGACTGGATTAGATAGATATAGGCTTGGCTGCGCACTGGTCATGACATTGCATGGAATGGCTGAGTAGACTTGGCTGGGTTGGGCTGGGCTGGGCGCGAAATTTCTTTTCCGAAACGAGATCGGACAATATCAAAAGAGGGCGCTCTCTCTGCGTTATGCATATTCATGATGTCCAGGGAAATTAGAGAAAAGGTTATATAACAAGGAATAATAGTGTTTAAATCACCGACGATTGGCAGCTCATTCGTGGACTGTTTGGAAGAAGTCCTGACTTCTAATCAGGTGATTCCGAGTTTGAATCTCAGTGAGCGTTTTCACTTCTTCACATTTTACTTTTTAAATAATTTAAGTGAGGAAGGAACACTTCTTACAAGACGTAAAGCCTATCTTGGGTTTGTGTTTATATATGGAGAACAAGGCATTAGATATGCATGTAATGGACCAATCAGAAGATAGAAAACGGATGTCGTTTGGGGAAAAAAGTTTCGTGGGCTGAGCTGGGTTGGGCTAGGCTGGGCTGGGCTAAATCAGCTGTTTACACTGTAATGACAACTCGAACTGACTTTTTGAGGGGGTCAAATAGTAAAGGGATACAATATGCCATCGTCACTGCCCTCACCCTGTATGGGTTGTCCTGCGGTATAGGTGTCATTACTGACTACAATGTTGTAAGGTGCAGGGCCAGTAGCCGTATTTCTAGGATGGTGATCCCCCGGTGACATGCTGGTGCAAACTCCGGGGTGTCGGTCTACCGGTGGCCCACTCGGCAAAGCGATGATGCAGTATGGCAGAAGCACTGCCATGATCACTGTACGAATTGCCATCTTAGACTCTGCAATACCACAATGAATATACACAACTCAAAACAGCTAGATCCATCTCCCACATGCAATGTGCATATTGACAAACTTGTAAAGATGTATGGGGTTCTCCGGAGGGTCAGAAGTGTTCCTCAGCATTCTCTAAATATGTTGTCCAAAACCCCGATTCTTCCACGTTTCGACTCATGCCATGCTGTAACGGGCAAATCTGCAAAAGTGTTTCTTACCAAACTTTATAAAATCCAAAACTATGCTGGTGGAACTATCCTGGGCCTCCTTCGTAGATCTCCCACGGACATTCTTTTATCTACTCTAGAATGGCAATCTCCATTAAAGGGAATATACATCATTTGCTTTTGCTGTAATTTTCAGAAATGGATGGAATTGGGGGGTTGGAAATATATATAGCAAATATAGTTACACTGACTTTTTTGAGGTTTTGGGTTCAAAAATGCTATAAAAACCAAGAAAAACAATCATTTTCCTGTAGTCTGGTTCCTTGACTCCATATAAGAAGAAACAGACCAGTTTACATACATTGGGGAATTGTAAGGTCAGGGAACCAGTCTAGCTGGCTTGTACCCGTTCATAGGTGTGTAATCGATTGCAAACAAGTGCGATGGTCAATTGGGGCCAGTATTTGAAAAAAAGCCAGTTTTTTTCCAACGCTGGTCTGCCGATCAGCGTTGGAAATTGATACAAAAATACCACTTTTCTTGAAAATGACAGTATACCAGGTGCCATGATTTTACAGGATGCTTTACACTGTCATTCACTTACAGTCCAGCAAGGTATTTCAAAATGATTTGGTAGTTTTATTTTTTGATGTTTGCAAATGTTGTATTTTCCCTTTAAGTAAAAGACCAGTTTTTCACTCAACTAATTTAGTCTATATAAAGTTTAACATCCAAATTGCCTCAACAGAACTGTACGTGCACCTCATTTTGTTAGGTCTGTCTCATAAAGGCATTCGTAAATGGCGAACGTTAAAGCCCGGTTCAAGCGAAAGCGAAGCGAAATTCGTGACGTCAACAATACATTCGGAGCGCGTCCACCATTGTTGACGACATGAATTTAACTTTGCACAAGCTTTCGCGTGAAGTATATGAACCGTGCTAATCAATGGGATATATAAGACGTGTAGCCTAATTTGTGTATTTTTATTGAACAGCGCCACAAATTGTATACGATTTTCCGCCCCCTCCCCCTATTCTTCAGCCACTCACTTCTTAAAGCTCGGGTAAACAAGACTAACTTCGACCCGGCCAGTCAAGGCTTAGTCATCATCATCGACATGAAACCTCATCGCAATTTACGCCCGTTAGGCCTATAGCTGCAGAAACGTGCAATGTCGAAGTACATAACGGCACACAATCTCTAAAAAAAAAAAGCGCGGGTATTACCTGTTTTTGGATCCGCCTTGCGTCGACAGTAAACGAATAGAAGCAGATTACCCTAAGAAAGACCCAGTATATATATATGGGTTGATCAGTGCAGACCTATATCCAACTTATCCGAACCTTGAAGACTTATTATGGGGTGAAAACAAAAATAACTCCACAACTAAGTTCTGTCGACTTGTACTACACTTCCCCAGACTTAGTCCATTGAATCATAGGGTTGATACTTCCTGCTTTTGAGTTTCGTTCGGAAGTACTTAAAGACATACTTCCCCTGGGCCCTGCTTTGTGGATATCAAAAACAAAACTGCAAATCACCCTTCCAAAACTGATTATGTGATAAATAAATAAAAATAAAATAATTATACAATCTTTGAACTGACGACCTAGAGTTTATTAAACAGGGCCTATACAACAATTGGCTAAATAAGCTGACATATATACAAGCAATTAAAAAGCCAAATTAAAACAGACAAATTTCAAAACAGAAACAAATTTATGTGAGGTTATAATGGACAACGTCATTCTTTTTTACCTCCAAATTTTAGATACGACTACGTTTATGGATATCACGTAATTTATAAACAAGCCAAATATTACAAGCAAACCATGTTTAACAGCCTTAATGATCAAAAGACTCATTTGGTATGATCAGACACAAACCTAGCTGACTAGAAGTTAATAAAAAGTGATACAATATAACATTTTAAGTTGAGATGTATCGAGTACTGCTGCACCTTTAAGTATACGCCTACGTCTTGTGACCTCAAACCATCTTACCCTGTGACTACAGCTAGAACTCCAACATGATTAGCTCTCATGTTCAGAAAGTTCAAGGAACTATATAGGGTCGACAAACTTGCAGCTGCGATATTACGGAAGCGTTAAAGGGACATAATACAAACTAAAAAAAATCATAATTATGACATATCTCATAATTATGACTTATAAGTCATTGTTATGACTTATATCTTATAATAATGACTTAGTATTAAGTCATAATTATGACTTATATCTCATAATTACGACTTAGTAATTGTTAAATCATAATCATGACTTATATCTCATAATTATGACTTATTATTAAGTCATATTTATGACTTATATGTTATAATGACTTATTATTAAGTCATTATTATTCGATATAAATCATAATTGTGACTTAATAATAAGTCATAAATATGATTTAACAATCACTAAGTCGTAATTATGAGATATGTCATAATTATGACTTAATAATATATTTATTTCTTTAGTTTGTACTATGGCCCTTTTTAACGCTTCCGTACGATATAGCTCTCACTGAAAAAAAATATTGATTGCATTTTCATTATGACACCAGCTTCGCCATAACCATATCTAGGAGTTTAATTACCGTAGTAAAAAATATTTAAAAAAATACCCGAACAAAAATAATAGTCAAATATTGTGTACAAGTAAACAACTATTCAGTGAAATATTAACAATTTTAACCGTACGTGATTGTATGCATGAACTTATGATAAAAGAGACGAGGAAAAAGTGTGACGAATAAATCAAAACAGACGTATGATAAAGATAATCAGGTCATCTGTCGTAGAGGGCGCTATACTGGCGACTACATGGATCCCATCAGAACAGTCAGCAGGAATAACGTGATAATGAGGAGTACCGTAGTCACAGTCACACTGGGTCTAAACGAGTAGGAAGCTGTAGGGAAAACAACAAGCCACGTGACAATAAATAAGGCTGTGTCCGAATTACAAGGCTACGGCTATAGCACAGGTTGGACGACGTCTTAATTGCATTACGAATCAAAAGGGCGTGGTTAAATAAAGCACCTGCGCTGAAGAATATGACATGTTAGTTGTCATTTGTGTTATTCAATTGACGAATGGGCTTTTAGGATTTAAAGAACTGTTATTTTCTGAGAAGTTATTCTTTTTAAATACTCACCTATAAAAGAACACTTATGCCCGTTGTTAATTCTTCTTTAAAACTCGTCTATTCTTTGAACGAAATATTTATTGTTTCGAGTTTGTTGATAATTCTGCAATATTAAGTTGCATTTGATTAAAACAAAAAATGAAAAAAAAATCAATAAATGAGAGCACTTACAATTTGATCTGCCCAGGCATATTCGTCCTTGCGTTGACGCTGTGAAAAAAAAGCGCATGTTCAACTTTTTAAACGCTATCTTTAACTAAAATAAAACACTTTCATTAAAGAACGATATTAAAAAGTGTTCACAAAGTGATGTAGGGCTTGACTGTTGATTTCAATCTCCAGACGCTAAAGTTTGAGAGTTGAATAATGTTTTGACGAAACTATATGATTCTTCTAACGCTTACAATTATTTCAACAGATGTCTGTTTGTCTTGTGAGGGACTGTCTGGCGAAGTTCTGTCTGTCTGGCGTAGGTCTATGTCTGTTTGTCTAGCGAGTGTGTGTTTGTCTGACGAAGGGCGGGGTGGAGTCTGTTTTGGATTGTTGTCTGGATGATGTCTGTCTTACCTGCAGGGGTAGTTGTTGACTCTTGCCCGAACTCCCTAGGACGGGACGAGAAGAACATGGCCGGCGATTCCACGTTGGTCCAAAACTCACTGGCTGGTCCTTTGACTATTGTTGCTCTGAAATAATGAGTTTAGATTGTTAGATTGATGTAACACGTCTCCTTTTTGTCAGTGAGATTTCGAGGCAAAGAGGACGGCCTCATAACGCAAAGATTCCTATGTTTCCTTGAACACATGGTTCCTAGACTTCTCTTTTACTACTCACGTGATCACTGATTTTGTATACCTGTTGAAAGCTGATTTTTTGTTTCCAGATCAAGTTGACGATGTTGCAGAAAGCGTCATAAAAAACTGAGTAATTTATAGCTGCTTACAAGGTTAAGTATAGTATACATGTAGTATGCGTACACAGTATGAGTAAATCAGTTAAAGCTATGATTGATTGACGATGGACGGGCTCTATTTTGAGCCTTCAGCCGATTCATGTAGTTGGCGTTTATACTGTTAACTGATTAAGATGCTTCGGATGACTAACTATACAATAGTGGTCCGTAGTTCTCAGTGGGCGGGGCTAGCTCCTAGGGGCCTTCAGTCAATTCCTGTTTCATAATTGGTCCATTGTGAACCCGTTTGAAAATATGTAAGGAATAAGAAATATACCTGAATATGATTGGTCCTTGGTCTGTTGTTGGTGAGGCCCACGTCGCTGTCACTGCAGTCTTTGGTGTGTCACCGTTGTGGCCCCATGCGCTCTGATGAGAAATAGGTAGCCTGCTCTGAATTATTTTTATGGAGTAAGCCGATAAAGCTGTAAACAGCTCTACGGAGTAAGCCCATACAAGCGATGGAGAAATCTGAGATCTGCAGATACCGACCGGCTTCAAAACACCACTAGTAGTCATTTAAAAATGAAGACGTTTAATATTATTTTTTAGAAAACTTAATCCAGTGACGTACCTAAGGGGAGGGGCCCTTTGGAGCACCCCCCCCCCCCCCGCGCTCGAGATCTCTCCCACCCCTTCTCAGCTCAGAGTTTGGAGAAGACAAAAAGAGTGGCTTTTTTGTGCCCATTTCAGAATACAACAAGGGTCCCTAAGTGCTCCCCCCCCCAAAAAAAAATATCCTGCATTTCTTTTTTAGAATGGGTATTGACTGGGCCCAATGTAACCGTCTGTCCCTTACCAAAAACTGTCGATTTCCCGGACCACTTGAGAATCTTAACCCAACATTCACAACTTCTTACAAAATCACCTTTTGGGGGCCGACCCCCCCCCCCCCCCCCCCTGCATTCACGCACCCACCCTTGGCCTGGTTTCACCCCAGGGTTAACTCACCGCGGGAGTGACACACGTGACGAATTTGGTGCCGCTGGAGATGGAGGTGAATTCCCCCAGTGCCTCGGTGATGTCTCGTCCCGTTGCCTGGCGACGGGCCTGGAGGAAGAAACCTTGGAAGGAGACGCCTCTGTTGGCTCTGACTGTCACTGTTGATTTGGTCCAAAAGAAAGACAATCAGAACCATCAAAAAATTCAAATTTTGTTTTACAGCACCTGCAGTCGGGAAGCTGGTTTTTTGACTCGCTGACTTTTAAATATTCCTCTAATGATTGTTATCGGAGCTATACAACTACAACGATGTTTTGAGCTAAGTGGCGGATCCGGGGGTGCAGGGGGGCGTTGCTGCTCCCCCTTTCCAGCAGTGACCGGAATTATTTTAAATAAGGCAATTTTTCACTTGTAAGAATCACCAGCAGTAACCTCTCTGGATTCGCGCCCTTGTTTCTATACAGTTTTATATGTCCACATCGTTTCTTGTGTCAGTCGTCATTGTTTGTGACTTAGATGTCTTACTTTTCTGTGTCCTTGAGCAGGATACATTACTTCAACTGCTCCTCTGTACCAGGGAAACATTACTTTATTTGGCTGGATAAAATTATCGTGTACAAAATACATTCAAAAATTATTCGGGTATACACGATGCATATAAAAAGGGTTCCAAAGTTTGAGGAAAAGTAATATTAGGGCCTAGTGGTTTGATTTTCATCGGTCCCAAAAAGTGACTAAGCTATTCAAATACTAACATTTCTTCATATTGCAATAGTTGTAATCATCATTGGTAACACCAAAAAAAAATGACGGAACGGTTGAGACTCACCATGAACAGGTTGATTTGGTCCGTAGTTGTACCTACTGATCTGGATGGTGTACGGTGCCTGTCCGCTAGCCGTGCGCGGCCGGTGACCCACGGGGTCCATGTCGCGGCAGACGCGCTGGATGGCCACAGGTGGACCGGACGGGTAGGGCAGGGAAAACCTCGGCAGAAGAAACAGTAGCATCATTACAACCGCGTTATCCATTCTTGATTTTATCTTAGAAACAGAGAAATGGCGCTGGTCTATGGTCCAAAATGAGAAAAGGGTGACTTTAAACTTGAGGATGTTCAAATCGACTTTAAAAAGACCGAAACTCCTGTCACAAATTTCAGCGAAGTAGCTTATGTCGACTGTCGAGTGTTTCTTGTTTCGAATAAGTTCCAGTTGCAGCTAGTCTAAACTGGCCAAAAGGTGAAAGCGTGGCTTGAAATTGTACGAACTTTTGACAGACGGTAACTTGTCCCAACACCAAAAGTTCACAAATTTTCAGCAAATGCAGTGCCTCTATAGTATCGAAAGCCTTCATTCGATACTCTCTGAAGATACGACAGCCTACTTGTTATAAAGTGTTGCCTGTATTTATTATCCCGGAACTTGAAACAAAACTCTCCAGTTTGTGCTACACTAACATAATAACAAATGGCACAATAAGGTCAAGAGATGACACTTTCAATCATACTTACACTACGCCTAAAGCGGTTGTGGATTTTTGTATTGGATGAGGTCAAAATATGAAATAGAAGCTACACATCGGGGCGGGGCAGGGCAGTGGTTCGAATTGGTCAGGATATATTATGGCGGTGAAGACGTACAAAGTTGTGTCAAATTTGTTTAGTCATTAAAATTGTACATTTGAAGTCATATTTCAGCAGCTCTAGGGGCGCAAATGACTAAAAAGTTTTGTTCATGTTTTCTCCATGCCGTAAAGCTCCGGGAGGGGGTGTGGAAGTCTAACTAGAGTGCAGACTGCATTGTATCGTTCAAGAATAGTTTCCTCAATAAATTAACTGATTGAATTATGAAGAAACAAAATAACAGTGGACACAGACTGACGGAGTGTAAGTTTAATGCTTCTAGAATTTATTGAAATTACTAATCGATTACATTATTCACATTTCATTTACTTCCTTACAATGTGGTTTTTCAATGAGGTTACATACTAGAGCAGGGAATAATCTATGAATCTTTTGGCGGGAAAATCTTCCACAGGGGCTATCAAACAAATTTGACCAACTACATGTTTGGGTTTAAAGTACACGCAAAACTCAAAAACAAATATTAAAAAGGATTAAGAAAGAAATTGGTGGTATACATGGCGAGATGTAAACACAAATACTTCACAATGCAATGTACTTAAAAAACAAAAATAACAAAATAACAAAACAAATCCACCCAAAACTAATGATGTATTTCTCTTCACCGCTTTTCGGTTGAAGGGAAATAAGCTTCGCCATTGACGTGAAAAAAATATACTTTAAAAAGTTATTAGTTTGACTAGTGGCATTCTTTCAGACATAAACTATTCCGTGTATAGAAGTATGTTTTTAAATCAACTTTGTTGGAACTCGACACCAGTGTGGAGTTATTTCAGTGAAAAGTGGTTTTGCAGAGCAGAATGAAATGACACTTAGGCTTCAATGTGATTACACGCACGTACATCTCGCAGCTACAATATTGCTTCAAGATATATTCCAGAGTTTCACCTAAAAAAAATCCAGATTTTTTTTCAAATTGCTATTTTCTTAGCAATATAAAAGTAATTCACTTTTGAATGCGACAATGAACAAAAAAAATCCACCGACGGTTAGTTGTTGCATTAATTCTTCACAAACTTCCAAATTTTGGCTGGTAGACGATAAGTCGGCTTTCGCAGGGCAGGTTATTTGTGCGCAAAACCCTTTCTTAGTGGGTTGCGGATGCCCGAATCGAAATAAAGTTTAGGGTTTTTGTTCGGTTAAACAAAACGTACACATTAAAAATTGGTTATTTGAAGAGCATGGCATATGCTTTTTTTCACATAATTAGAATGGTAACAAAACAATGAAATACTCATTTGAATGACAATAAATAGCACAAAAATAAAACAATAGGATTCGTGTGGCATTTCGCCGCGTCCAAACATGTGTCAGTTGACACCAGAAACTGAGACAGTTCCTTCACAACTCACAGGATGTACGGTTGTGGTTTCAGTCATTAATTACAAGTTCAAATATCCATCTCACGAACATTTCTGGATGAGGAAATCACAAAGTTATCAACAATGGAAGGCAAGGCTTCCAGTTTTTGCAAAGCTTTAAGCCCGGTTCATACTCCACGCGAAAGCAAGTGCGAAGCAAAGTTCATGTCGTCAACAATGGTGGATGCACTCTGAACGTATTGTTGACGTCACAATTTTGATTTGCTTTTGCTTTCGCCTGAAGTATGAACTAGGGTAAAAAACGAGACGGGATCACAAGTCAAACTAAAAATGTAATTGGAACAAAAAATGAAAATAATCAGGGGCGGATCCAGGAATTTTGCAGGAGAAGGGGTCAGGTCCGTCAGATTTTGTTTATGTCCGATTGTTGTGGACAGGCGGACATAAAGGTAATTATTATTACTATAATTGTTTTAGTTTTGGGGCTTTTTTGGTTGGGGGGGTTACTGATCCCCGCCTGAAAATACACCATTTGGTGTATCATATATATAATGGTGTATTATCTCCATATATATTTATATATGGAGAGGCAAGTTTGAAATACGTGATTCTGAAGTTCAAAGTGTATCAAAAACACACAAATAAAATGCCGAGTTACACTCAAGCCAGTTGGATTGCAATAAGTAACCCATTCAATTTTTACATACTTTACAAACCATTGACCTAAAGACCCAAATCTCTGTCACTACACATGGGGTATCCCATAACCAGATTTTAATAAACGTTACCCTTATGTCCCTAGGTAAATTTTGCTCACCCAAATCACCCATTTTCACCATATATGTTACATTTTTTTTTCAAGGGGCATCAAGTTCAATATGAAGTAATAGTGGCTGGTATGTGCCTTCCTGAAACCTACAAAAATCCTACAAAATCCTCCAAAGTCTAAATCCTTCTTGTGGATATTGAAAGATACAGGAGAAATAATGGGGAAAGGGAACATTTGTACACTGTACTCCGTTTACAAACAGGGTGGTGTGAAAACGACACATCCGAAGCCGTTTTCAAAGTTTCGAGGGGTTAAATAGCAAGAGGTCAAATTTCACTGGGGCTGGGTCACTTGAGGTCAAGGGTCATAGTGGCCGGTTCCTCTAGGTAGGATTTCCAGATGTTGGAGAATCGGGCCATGGTGGCGCCGTCGATGACCCTGTGGTCAGCTGACCAGCTGACGTTCATGATGTAGGCTTTGTAGACTCGGTCGTCCTCGTCGAAACGTGGCACGGCCTGTCAGAACATGAAATTGGCCAAAAAATAGGAATGGAGGCAATGTCATAGACAGGAGTTTACAATAGATCGCAAGTTGTGTAAGTCCATCACAGGTTCATCCCAAGTCCGTCACAAGTCTATCACAAGTCCATCACAAGTCCATAACACTAGTCCGTCAAAAGTCACCCAGTCCCAAGTCAACTCATAAGCTGTTCTAATGGAATATGTCAAGGGCATTCCTATGTTATTGTTCCTCTCTGTTTCTTGTTACTGGACCTGTAATTTACTTGTGACCAAAGTTTGCTTTTGATGTTTTATTGGATTGTTCAACATTTCTTTTTTAACAATCCCCATTCAGTCAAACTCCAACAGCAGGGCTTGTTGGAATCTGTTAGGATGAGTACTGCACTAGTAAACTGAAATGCTTTAAATGGGGCTAGCATACCACAAATAAATAGTCCAACTGTTCATGTGTACAGTTTACCATATGGTGTTGGGATTTGCAAGGATGAGGAAGGTTCCTAGTAAATCACCCTAGGGGGGTAGGGTTAATAGTAGTTTTTTATGAATAATTGTATTTTCTGTTTTACCTTGTATTGTTCTTAAAAGGGCAAAACGAAAAACATTGTTTCGCTCAATGTTAACCTTTAAAAATAGTTGTTAAATGAATAAATCAATTTTGTCAGATTACTAATTGATTTTGACCTTCATCAATGTAATTTTATAAGCTCTTGAACCTCACTTTTGTCTTAAAGCTTGTTTGAAAAATCAATGAAAAAAGGTGGTTTTAGTTTCATTTCTCTCTTACCTGAACTTTCCCTATTGCTCCGATGGCCACCGTCCCAGGCATCAAGACAGGCTTGGCGTAAGTTCCACCAATCTGTAGAAAAACCACAAAACAAATAGTTACAACCAATCCTCAGGTGGCACTGTATCAATGATAATAGCCTGGGGTATAGAGTAGCCAATCAGAAGACTGCCAGCTTGAGTGACAGGTGGAATTTAAAACCAGATGTCAAACACCTGTTGGAGTGTGAGCAGCTAATTCTGAAAACCCCTGGGGCAGGTTATCTGCTGAGTGGAATTTTGAGGATTGAAAGGGTCAGATATTATTGCTGCTGGTCACTTATTTGAACGATAATGAGGGAGGACAGGGTATATGTGTGAGTGTGTTGGGGGAGGGAACCGTTGTTCAAATTTCAAACAGTTATTTCATGCAGAGTGACATTAAGAGTGTCAGTGTATGAAGACATTCATCTCAGCCACCGCATCATTAAGCTTCAGACTAAATAATGTGTAGGGGTATCAAATAAAAAAAGTACTTAAAAGTGACCTTTTCATTAATTTTCACAGACTCAAGAAGGACATTAAAAGAAGACGATATAACTTAACAATTATTGTCTGTTGTGAATGGTTCATGGGTTCTGCATTCCGCTGCCAACCCCCCCCCCCCCCCCCCCCCCTCAGCTTCACCTCAGTGTCCCTTTCCAACTCACAAAACATGTACCATTTGCAAGGCTGGGGTTTAGGGATATCACAACCCCAATATTTGGTTTCTGTCAGCAAAATCATTGTCCTGCTAGCATAGTCGTGTGTTTGTCAACATATATGTCGTAGTGAATGGTGCCACCTATTGATAGTATTTAACCTCGTTGGCTTTGAACAACACTCAAATTATACCCCCACCCCCATTTTACCAACACAACCACCCCCTCCCCCATTTATAAATTTTGTGCTGGCTGGATGACCAGGGTCCAATTTCACAAAACTCGTCTTTTCTTGCGACTCATCTTAGGACTTAAGACGAGGCCTGCTCTAAGATCGATCTTAACTAAGACGCATCCTAAGACCGATTTCACTCAACTCTTAAAGCAAGACACATCAAAAGTACCAATTTGATGACGGTTCAATGTTTGCACTTACATCTTGACAAAACAGTCGTTGAAAAGAAATGCGTTGAAACTTCTCGTGCGATGTGCGAAGTTTAGAGAAATCGATCCTAGGACGAGTCGTGAGTTAAGACGAGTTACCCTTCTTAAGGCACGTCTTAACGTTTCGTGAAATCGGCCCCAGGCCAAAATTCCTGGCTACCATTCTGCAAGGAGGGGTTTGTTGGTAAATGCATTTTCACAATCCGTTCCCCCCCCCCCCCCAATTAAATTTGGTCTGGCGATGCCCTTGACCACGTGTTCTATTGCGAGTAGGCCATATATCTAAAGTTCCTGCACCGAGCAATTATTCTAAATACATCAGTCTCATATGTCATACTTACCGTTCCAATATTGGACAGAGTGAAGGTGACCCCCGTGAGGTCATCCGACCCCAGCTTGCCCTCGTAACCCAGGGAAATGAGTCGGCTCAGCTCCTGGGCTATCTCAAACACCGTCCTGGCTTGAACGTTCTTAATGTTGGGCACTAGGAGACCCTGCGGCGTGTCCATGGCAAAGCCGATGTTGTGACTAGCCTAGATGAGAAAACGATCAATATATATTTTATCTAGAGGAATTGAAATGATCAAGTTTGCTTTAGGCACAAACTCTGTGATGTAAGAATACCGTTCTAAGAGATCTTATTCAATATTAAGATAAAATGTAAATACAAAGAAAGAAAGTAGATTTTTCAACTGAATAAATTATCTGTTCAGTAAAAAAATGTGTGCCGGTGGGCACACTTTTTTAAAACCACCTCCGATGATTTTTTTTTCTAACAATGACACTACTTTCAGGCCAAATATTTTCACAAGGTATTTGTACTAGTCCGTTCTGCACTTTGAGAAACTTTTGTTCTCATTAAATCTGTAGTTTCGTTTTCTGTGTAATTATATCAATGATTCAATGTGCCTTTAATGAGCCATTGAAATGACTTACCTTGTAGGTTAGGTTCTCACACTCTGCGTCAACTGAAGCATTGAGCATTGGGAAATAGTTGAGCGCCATGGAGGCAGCCTGCAAAAGAAAAAAAGTAGCATTTATTTTCAAAATTTTTAAATCAAGCAAAAATGTGCAAATCAAGCAAAAGCATGGAACGTTATAAGCATCAATATCATAAAATGTTCTGTCCAATCAAGCTGAAGTTTGTTTTGTAATAGTGGGTTTTGCCCTCAACCGACGTATTTTATTAACATTGTATACATAGTGCTGTCCCGAGTGATTGTGAGAAAAAAAATTCACAAATTTCTCTCGGTTTGGACTCGAACCTATGATCCCGAGTCCCACCCAGGTAGTTCGTGAATTTTTTTTCTCACAATCGCTCGGGACAACACCGAGTTTACAATGTTTATAAAATACGATGGTGAAGGGCAAAACCAGATATTAAACTTACATCACCCTGACGCCAGATTCCATCTTATGAAAATGTTGATTTCTTCTTAAATTTCTGAGCAAGTGGGAGCATGTTGGGAAGCCCTTGAGCGGATGCCTGTGTGTCTCCCCCCCCCCCCCCCTCCCAGGCCCCTCCCCCTCCAGTTTTGCAACTGATTTTGTTATCTCTTACCTTGATGAACATGGGCATGAGTGAGAATTTAACACCCCTGTGCCCGGCAGCCTCCTTGAGTACCCCCCGGAGCTGCATCAGAGACGACACGTCAATCTCGTCACAGTAACCAAAATGAGGAATCTGATTGGCCGCCGTCATCGTCTTCACCATGGCCTTCTTGATGCCTCGGATGGGCTCCGTCCGATCCTGGCCAACCACGACCGGCTCCAGGGGTCTGGGTGGGGGGACTGGTGGGGCGATGGGTGGCGGGGTGGGGGGAAGGGAGGGAGGGGCCTGGGGTGTGGGCGGAGGAGGTTTGGGTGGGGCTGCTGTAACCAAAAAATATTCACATTAAAGTTGGCACTTCCCAAAAATAACTAATGCAAAAAAAAATATCAAAAATTCTGCAGGCTTTTTAATAGTTGAGTTATTGCTTCATCTTCTTCTATACATGAGGTTCGTTAGTAAATCTTGCTGTTTAAACTTCTGGGTCTTTTGTTTCTTCATTGGAAGTTTAACTTTAAAGAGGCCAATCCTTTGATCAATTGCTGGGGATTTTAATACTATGTACAGGGTGGCATGAGTGGCGCAATGCGTAAAGCACTCGCCTCTCACCAATGTGGCCAGGGTTCAACTCCCAGACTAGGTCACATGTGAGTAGAGTTGTTCGTTGATTCTCTCCTGTGCCATGAGGGTTTTTTCAATGAGTTCTCCAGTTTTCCTCCCTCCGCAAAAATCAACACTTTCGATCTGGCTGTGCTCCGTGATAAGACATGGGCTGTATGGTGGCTGCCTAAGGCACATCTGCATGCGTTCGGTTTGACCACGTCGTAGCTGCACTGAAGGTGCAAAGCACGGCACACCTTTCCCATTTGACTGGTTCACCAGATCATCGGGCCATCGTACAGAGGTGTGCCCTGAAAATTCGGACCGATCTGTTTGATATTTACGGATCCAATTTTTACCGGATCTGATTTCACCGGGTGCAATATTTATGTTACAAATCAGATTCATGAAGGAAATCACATGGTTGTCATCATGTGACTGGACTGTTCATCATGTGACTGATCATCATGTGACCAATTATGGGACGGAATCGGGCATGTGTGCGGGTAACGTAAGGTCGAACCGCAACGGTGAAAAAAACGTGCTGGTGAAGGGGTGATCCTGGAAAGCGGTAAAATCGGGAATGTGTGCGCCGGGCTTTGGTGCATTGTTTGAATTCGTTTAAGGTAGTTAATTAAAATGGTTAAGTACCTGATATTGTTGTTGTTGTTGCTCCACTTTGTCTCATGTCAATGTATCGCAACATATCCTCTTTCAGTACTCTTCCATCTTTGCCTGTCCCAACAACATCAGCGAGAGAAATCTGTATGCAAAAGAAAAAACATCAGAGAGAAACCTTGCAAAACAATCCAAATATTGCCAGTCTCTTGCCACAGGTGTTTTGAAATCCTGGCGTCAACATCAGTTTCGGCTTCAGAGGGTTTTAAGACATGTACCCCAATGATACGAGGCCAAAATTGAGTGTGTTTCCACATATGAAGCCGAAGCTGCAGACAAAACCGGGGTTTTTACTTCGCTCTCACGAATAACCTGCATAGCGCCCTCTACAGTTGGACACTGGGGCAATACATTGCCTTGTAATATCTGAATAAAATCGTGACTGGACCCAACTAAATGAGTCTTCAAGACAATTTTGACTTCTTAGTTTCTCACATGCAGTAGGAGCGCATAATTTGCTCCTCATTTTGATATGGGCCATTCTATAAATTTCAGGTCCCAAGTGTGACCTTTTTCCTGTCCCTGTTACCTTTGCACTTTGTAATTTGCCATTCAAGTATCCTTAAGAATAACTTCAACAATGTTTTTTTTTGGGGGGTATGTAATTTGCTATTCATAGACACTCTTGGAGGACGACTGCATTAAGGAGTGCATCAGAATTATAAAATGATATAAATGTCAGATGTAACAGGGACAGGAAAAAATGGACCCAAAATGTATAGAATGACCCATATTTTAATGTTTACAGATGTCAAGTGGGTGACAAAGTTGACGATTTCTATTAACTTCCGTGGTGTAAGATCCTGTTAAAAGCCAATTTCTCTAAAGTGGCTCTGGTGACTTGCGATTCTTTCTGTTGATTGGTACACAGATACGTGATGTACACTTACATTGTTCTCCATTGCCAGTCTCTTGACGGCCGGTGTGGCCAGCACCTTGACGTATCGCTTCTCATCGTGTGTGGCTTCCCCTGTGGCCTGGGTTGCGTCAGTGTCACTGTCACTCTCCGCTGCCTGCTCCATGTCTACAAATATAAATATACCAACAACCGTTAAGTATTAATCACATGTCCAGTCACAAATAAATCACAAGTCCAGTCAGAAGTCCATCACAAGTCCAGTCACAATTCCATCACAGGTTGATCACAAGTCCAGTCACATGAAAATCACAAGTCCAGTCAAAACTAAATCACAAGTCCAGTCACAAGTAAATCACAAGCCCAGTCACAAGAAAATTACAAGTCCAGTCACATGAAAATCACAAATCCAGTCACAAGTAAATCACAAGTCCAGTCACAAGTAAATCACAAGTCCAGTCACAAGTAAATCACAAGTCCAGTCACAAGTAAATCACAAGTCCATCACAAGTAAATCACGATTCCAGTCATAAGTAAATCACAAGTCCAGTCACAAGTAAATCACAAGTCCAGTCACAAGTAAATCACAATTCTAGTCATAAGTAAATCACAAGTCCAGTCACAAGTAAATCACAAGCCCAGTCACAAGAAAATTACAAGTCCAGTCACATGAAAATCACAAATCCAGTCACAAGTAAATCACAAGTCCAGTCACAAGTAAATCACAAGTCCAGTCACAAGTAAATCACAAGTCCAGTCACAAGTAAATCACAAGTCCATCACAAGTAAATCACGATTCCAGTCATAAGTAAATCACAAGTCCAGTCACAAGTAAATCACAAGTCCAGTCACAAGTAAATCACAATTCTAGTCATAAGTAAATCACAAGTCCAGTCACAAGTCCAGTCACAAGTCCATCTCAAGTCCAGTCACAAGTAAATCACAAGTCCAGTCACAAGTCCATCACAAGTCCAGTCACAAGTAAATCACAAAATCCAGTCACAAGTTAATCACAAGTCCAGTCACAAGTCCATCTCAAGTTCAGTCACAAGCAAATCACAAGTCCATCACAAGTCCAGTCACAAGTAAATCACAAGTCCAATCACAAGTCCATCACAAGTCCAGTCACAAGTAAATCACAAGTCCACTCACAAGTCCATCACAAGTCCAGTCACAACCAAATCACAAGTCCAGTCACAAGTCCAGTCACAAGTGAATCACAAGTCCAGTCACAAGTAAATCACAATTCCAGTCACAAGTCCAGTCACAAGTACATCAGAAGTCCAGTCAGAAGTAAATCACAAGTCCTTTTGATGGACTCAGCTACAACACTGCAATGTTTATATTACCTTGGCTTGATCCAGATTCTACTTGTATGTCCACAAGCGGGGTCCCCACACGTGCAATGTCGTCCACTTCATAATGGATCTTTTTTATGACACCGTCATATCTGCTTGTTATTGTAACAGAAGCCTTATCGCTCTGTACCTCGCATATACTATCAAACTGGGCCACGGTGTCGCCCTCTTTAACGTACCTGTCCACAACAAAGTAAAAAAAAAAGAGTTAAGTCTGTCACGAGCCAATGTGGCCCATCAGGCCGGCATTTATCTCCGGTTTCAGTAGCATGAAACGACTGAGAATATTTCTATTTCCCTTGGATGGGGTGGTACAGGGAGAAACAGGGAGGGGCTGTACACTGATGGAGTTAGTGTTAAGGTTTAGAAATTAAAAAAAAACAACTTCAAGTAATTTCTCAAAGTATGGGAAAGATTTCCATATACGAAGTTCACTAAACACTCTGTGTATAAACCCTATGAGAGTGGACTGAAAAATTCTAAGTGTTTTCTAAGAAAATGCTTGTATTTTCTCACTGCTCAAAATGACTTTGATGACATGAAATTGCTATCTAGGGGCTTGTTAGTCAATACAGAGGAAAATTAGTGAAATTCGCATATGGTAATCTTGCCAAAGTGTGTACACTGTAAAACAATTACTTAGCTAATAAGTACTCTTGAGCTGGGATGAATTCAGCTCAATCGTTACTATTTGCTGGGACCAAAGTTACTTGTAGGCAGCATTTCAGGCACCATTACCTTCAAGCTTTTATCACTGAATATTTAAATCTTACCACTCTTTGACAACGACCTCCGCTATGCCTTCCCCAATATCTGATAACTTGAACTGCATTACATCTCCATGTAAAACTGCAAAGGATCAAACACATTTAAAAATAGAAGAGTTACGCATTGGGTCAAATTTTAAGCTCTGAAATATTTATAATAAGAGCAGAGAAATTTTTCTGTACCAGAGGACGTTCTCAGTTGCCTGACCAGGCCTGGTTGGTCTAACCATGGTCTGTGAAACCTTGCAAGTTGCCATTTATCAGAAGATGTCAACTGATGATGATATCGCACTGAGCTGCAGACACTGATGTGGCGTGTTGTACATCTCTGGGTGTTGAAGAGAAAGAAACGAAATCATGTTTGTTGGCTGTTGCTATTTGAAATGGGCAATGGGGCAAACATTTCTAAAGGAGGGAGAGGGGGGCAACAGTACATCATTGTACTTGTAGCGGTACATACAAAAATGGGAGGGGAGCGCAAAAGGACAATGTTATCAGGGTACGTAATGGGGGATGTTTTTATCAATAATTGCCATGTATGACTATGATGTAGGCCTACCATAATAATTCAGTAAGTGAATCATTACATTTGAAGGATATGTGACTTGACTGGGAACCTACTATTTCTGGATTCCTCATGACTACCCCCCCCCCCTGCCTCCATCCCAACTCATCCCCATCCACCCCATCCGTAAAATGCCACCAGGCACCACACAATTTCACAAACTGAAATTGTGGAATAATTTTTAATTTGATTTTAATCTGAAATTCTTGCTTTACCAGTTTACTCTCTTTAAATATTTTGTATAAAAAATATTGGTCCTATCACTCTATGGTCATGATGGTCCACCGTCCACCGGACGCTCTAGTGCATGGGGCGACTTTTTTATTCATGGTACCAGATCACACATGCACAAGGAATGTACAAACACGTTTGGGGCGACTTGTCAATTGCAGTTTATCACTTGCACTTTCCAGATTATTGTTTAATGTTGCTACAGTACAGCAAATGAAAGCGTAAGTCAGATACATAACTGAATACGAATACGACTAAATACAATGGCTGATGCACAGGTTCTTACATAATTACGTATACAGCGCTGTAATGGTGATGAACGGATCCAAACTTGTCGGATAAAACTCGCCATCATGCACGGACAACTGTGCACAGAGTTTACATGGGCAAAAAGCCGGGTTAGCCGGCGTTCGTCTCTTCTCCAAAATCCATGCAGAACAGGATGATGGTACGGTGTCCGTTATAGGGCAACAAATCACACCCCTGCCCCGCCCACTTAGCCTAGAATAAACGGCTAAATTTATCGCGGTAGAATTGCATTATAGAATCGCGTCAACGCAGCTTGTAAATTATTGTCCAGTTACATGATATACAAATGGATGCGGAACGCGTAAAATCTGAGACAAGCGAAACTTAGGGGCGTGGCTATAACTCGCAAACGGCGATAGGTCTATTACCACTAGGAAGAGCCCAATTAAACTCATGTGGGTGTAGTGTATTAGCCTATAGGAGGAAGGATAAGATGGTTAAGTAAGAGGGGTCTTTCATCCCAAAATGCGAGTGCGGACATCAGGGAACTTTTGACATTGTCGTATACGGTTTTAAAACTCAATGGTTCTTGAGTCTTGTATGCTAAATGGTATCACAATAGCAACCAATGAAAATGGTCTGCAAAATGAATAGATGTTTTCATCGACATAATCATGCACCGAACCTATTTCTTTATTTCTATGCAGTCCACTTTATTAAACAACCAAGGAAATGATCTGCATTTTTTCAAAGAACTTTTTTTCCTTATCTTAAATTAAATAATTCTGATTCAGAGGGCTAGGGAAATCTACCAAGTAGAATACCCCATGTGTAACAGATATGCACATCTCGCCGTTAAAATTTGTCATCTAGCAGCATCCATACGTTCATTTCACCCTGTACTCTATGTATTCTAGATGGAATTCGATTTATTTGGGAGCCCACACGTGGCGGCGCGCTTCAACTTTTCTGACTGTGATCGATGTCAAGCTTGAGTAAGCCGTCTGCTTCTGCTTCTTCTTCTGCTGGTACTTGTACACAACGCCCTGTTCAGTTGTGATTACAGGAAGGAACAGATGTCTATTTCTCCATGATTATACTTGTTAACTTGAATCTCTAAAACTGTTTGGCAGTTTTGTTATAGGAAGGTTGCAAAGGTAAAAATTGTACACAAAAATAGGACAAGGGGAGAACAAAACAGTTGATCGTCCGGTTTTTTTTTTTTTTTTCAAAAAGAGGAGGATGCATGAGGGCCTTTTTATTGTTTAGGCCTATATTTTAATTTTTTTTGCAAGATGGTTTAGGTTAAAAATGACCGCCAGCCTTAAAATTGATTAGCTATCCTACTACTAGAGTCAAAATTTTTAAACATGTATTTTATTAAAGCAAAATACAAGAAAAAGTTAGCTTTTTGAGACGAGAAAAAAGAAAATAAAGAAAAAAAAGATGCAGCTTCAAAAAAGGATGCGGGTGGGGACAATCAACTCTTTGTTTTTTTTACTTGGCCTTAGTGTACTACTACTAGTAGTGACATAGGCCTCGGGTCCCAAGTTATGTTAATCATAATTAATTTTCTTTTTTTAATTTATGTTTCAGGTTTCTTTTTAGAAAGATGGCATCGGCAGCTGCAGCAGCATCTAAGATCATCATTGATGGAAGTGTCATGGAAGGAGTAAGTCTCTGCGATACTTGCTAGCGGCTAGTGGGCTGGGAAGCTGCAGGGTTACCCCCCTCTATATTCCGGTATTCTCCACCCACCCCTAACACAATCAACATCTGGCTTCACCTGTCATGAGAATAAGCTCCTGAAAGCTGAAAAACATGTTTAGTATAAAGTCAAGCCAACTTTTCTTACTCTAACAAAATTCTCCAATTTAGAGGGTATGCTCAGCGTTTTCCCACACTTGACCTTGGTAGGGTCATGTTGTGCATCTGAGCATCTGATTTTGAGCTTGCATAAATTTGTTTAGCTGGAGACAAGTGAAAAGACAAAATAAATTGTAAATGTTTAATTTAAAAACAAAAAAGGAGATGGGCAGGGAAAAGGAAGCAGGCAGGGGTGAGAAACTGGTTTAATTTTTTTAATTGGCCTAATTGTATGTAGAGCCATATTCATTGTATTCCATGTTTTATGTTTCATTTACATGTTTAGGGCGGGCAGATTTTGCGGATTGCATCAGCTTTGAGTTGCCTGACCTGTCAACCAATCACAGTGCAGAAAGTCAGGGCTGGGAGGAGCAAGCCGGGACTAAGGTAAACAAGCTCCTCCTTCATTGGTCAATCTCTCTTGGTGACAGAGTTAACTTTGAGCCAATCACAGCAGATCTTACTTATCCTTGTATTCAAATGTTATCATTATGTACTTTATAAATGCCCTTCAGATAACTGCACTGAGCAGGAACTAAATTTGGGAAGTGGCATTTTTATGGCCAAAATGGTCAACCTATACTTTACTCTGTCTGACTGAGCCACTGACTGACAGACTGTGTTACTAAACTGAGACTGTAGCCGTGTCCGAATCACGTGGCTATGGCTAGCAATAACACACAAGTCTATGGCAAGTAGCTGCAGCCGCTAGCCAGCGCCTTCCATAGACCATTGTCATGTTGCGGCCATCTTGATTTTTTTCCCATTCAAATCAAAGTAACCAAAGCGAGGCTGGAAGGAAAAATAGTCTGGTTCCTTTTTGCACAAAAAACATTATCATTTAGCACTGTTATTGGATACAGGGAACATGCCTGCAATGGTGGCAGCATGATAGAGGTCTATAGGTGCACATGTTAATTCCGGTCGTAGCCGTGTGATTCGGAAACAGCCTTTCAAACTAAGTCTCACCAAATGAAGCTGTTCGGCTGAGACTGACCAGCTAACCAGCTGTCGAACATTTGGTTTCAACTCGATTTAGCAAGCCTCGTCTTATTGTTTTGAATCTGGAACAGACCCCAGCATTTGAGCGGCCTCCAGCTGGTCCGAGATCTCTGCTCCGGTGAGCTGATAGGAGGATCGGTAGGATCCACAGAGATCACTTTCATCCCGTCAAAGATTAAAGCAGGCAGATACGTGGCCGACACAAAGACTGCAGGGTAAGCGACAGTAGATTAAAAACACCCAGTCGCTGTGTTTATTGTTCTATTTCTTAAACTTGCCATATTTCAGTAACTGACAAACGGCATCGACAGCCAAAGAATGTTCATTCAGTATTTCTCCTTTTTTAATGACACAAAATATTCATTCAGCATTCCCCCCTTTTTAATACAGAACAACTTTGGAGAATTGTTAATACTTCACAATCTTTCCAAAAATGTTGAGATATTCCCCCTTCCCATTCCTCCAAAAAAAAGTCTCTTTTTTTAACTAACTAGGGACACCTGAAGTTAACGACTAAATTTCCTCTCTTTTTTGGAAGATTGTAAGTAATCATGAATATTATGCAAAATCTCCCCTAATAAATCAAACAAGCAGACAAGCCAACAAGCAAAGAAAATCAAAATTAAAAATTCTTACCTTTCGAAACAAATAGTGTATCTTTGCTTTTGTCTGTAGCTGCATCTCCATGCTCGTATTGGCAAACAAACTATGCAGCATACCGATAAAAACAAAGCTCCTCCAAAATTGTAAAAACAAGATCTTGCTAACACAAGAAATACAAGATGAATGGAATTATAATGCCCCCAAAATGTTTAACCAAGCACAGTTGATAAAATGTCGGAGAAATTAATTTCTTTTTACCCACCAATGGTTTGCTTTGTCTGATGTGTAGGAGTGTAGTCCTATTGATGCAGGTGTCCATGCCTTGTATGCTGTTTGCTGCTGGACTCACCCAGGTCACTCTTAAAGGGGGCACTAACGCTGAAATGGCACCTCAGATTGACTACACAACGCTAGTAAGAAGACGAGCATCAACAACATCCAGATGACTTCACTCAAATAAAAGCATCTTGTCAGAACTATAGATAAATAGACTGATCCATTTTGCTCCTGTTTCGCCCCCCCCAAAAAAAAAAATACCTTAGGTAAATTATCACAAACATTATAATACTTTTTGATTATCTAGCTGACAAGGCAAAATATTGTGTTGACATTTGAGTGAAGTTAGGTGGATGGTGCAAATGAAAAAAACAAAATTCAAATAAAAAAGTGGTCCCTCCCCTCCCTCCTCACCCCTCTACAGGAGTGTGTGCCTTATCCTACAGTTAGTTCTACCATGCACCTGGTTAGGCAATGGACTAGTCCATGTTGTCATGAGGGGTGGCACAGATACTGACATGGCTCCTCCTCTTGATCATTACATCATGGTAAGCTACCATGGAAAGGGAACAAAGCAGAAACTATTCTCTTTGCTTTTGAAAATAATAATGAATATTGAGACAATGGTGATTTGAGGTTCAAGTGCTCAGATCAAAGTTCTTGTTTTAAGAAACTGTGAGGCGTATGACATAATGCCATCTCTTTCTCCACCCCTCTCCTGGCCCCACCCCCTAATGGGGCATCTTTACTCCCTAGTAGTTTTGTTCCATTTAAAGTTAAACAAACACCTTTTCTGTTTTTTTTTTCTGTGTAGGTTTTCCAGCCAATGATCGAACGATTTGGAGTCCAATTTGAATGTGATGTGAAAAGAAGGTAGGGGTAATTTTTTTTCTCTTCATGACTTTTGAGACAAACTTAAATCTTATCTAATTTAATCTGTGATGAGACAGGAATATGACTTATTTCTTTCTTTCTTTCCTTGTTTCTTAATTTCTTTCTAATTTATTTCTTTGTTTTGTCCTAGGGGTTACTACCCTAAGGGTGGTGGAGAGATCCAAGTCCGTACAACCCCCATCCAGTGCCTTCAACCTGTGGACATCACCGATGTAGGCCAAGTCACAAAGATTGAAGGTCGAGCGTTTGTCGCTGGAGTCTTGCCTGTCAAGGTAGATCGTTTGAAACTTTAGACTTTTCAATAGGCCATTGAAATAAATGAAAGGCCGTAACGACTGCATTTTGGGGTTCAAACAGAAATGAATTCTAGGATTAATGGCCTAAGTTTCTGAAGGAAGTACTACAGAGCGTGCCAAAAAAGGGCAACATTCAGAAAACAAATAATTAAAATTGTTCAATGTTTTTTCTTCAGTGAAATTATATATTACGTTATAGCCTGACTATTTCTCAATCCACTTTTTACCCCATTCCATTTGGGTCCCTAGATCCAGAAATACAATCAGTTAAGTGAAAGGGTGTAGATTTTATTTGGCCACTCTCACCTGGACATGCTGAATCTGGGTTAAGCATTAGGCATGTTGCAGTTGGTGACATCACAGGTGAGAGTGACCCAAATAAAATGTACACCCTTTTACTTGATTATATTTCTGGATCTAGGGACCCAAATGGAATGGGGTAAAAAGGAGTGGATTGAGAAATAGTCAGGCTTTAACGTAATATATATAATTTCACTGAAGAAAAAAACATTAAGCAGTTTTAGTTATTGTTTTCTGAATGTTGCACTCTTTTGGCACGCTCTGTACGAGGTACATGTATTTGTCAAGTTTTTCCGTCATACTGTCTATGGAACTCCCTCCCCAAAATTGTTTTCCCTTGTACCCATATTCTTTCATAATTCATAAGAAAGATGCATTCAGTCACTATGACTTTTGTCACTTCTTCTGTACTAATTTGTAGCCCACACTTTGAGTGACTCTTGACATGTTTTTTGGGGAAATACTATAAAGAAAAATGAAAGGAAATCTGTGTTGCAGTACTTTCCACTTTTCTTTGTCATTGTGTGACTCTTGACATGGTGTTTGGGAAATATTTCAAAGAAAAACGAAAGGAAGTCTGTGTTGCAGTACTTCTTACTTTTCCTGTACCCGTTCTAGATTGCTAAAAGCATGGCCGACACAGCGAGCAGCATAATAAGCAGCAGATTTCCCAGTATTCCTGTACACGTCAAGGCCGTGCAAGAGGCTTCAGCTGTTGGCAATGGATGCGGTATCATGTGAGTAATTCATAAGGGACCATTGAAAAGATCAAGTTTTCATTTACATCATCTTTTTTGTGTAGTTATTTCAAGAGGTGTTATGTCAGCAGTGTTTGTGTAGGGATGATGTAATTCAGTATTTGTTTTTTCAAACCAACCAGCCGACTCTGGCAACATGGATGGCCGAGTGGGAAGACGTCTGCACTAGTAAGCAGGAGGTCGTGGGTTCGAGTCCCACCCGAGTAGTTTGTGAATTTTTTCTCACAATCACTCGGGTATGAGTATATAGTGTTTATAAAAATACGTCGGTTACAAGGGCAAAACCTAATATTAAATTTCTGAGCTGTAAACCTGTTTCTTAATACCTGCATCATTTCTAATGGTCGCTATCGTCAATTTTTTGAGGGAGAGTTCATGCATCAACCAAAAATGACAATGAACTGAATTAGAATTGTTAGAGTGATGGTGAACAATATTTATTCTATGGAGGGTAAATTAACCTCGAATGTCTTTAATAAAAATGCTATCTTGTAAATTTTTTCTATGCTTCCAACTGTAGGGCTTTCCTTTTTTTAATAATTTAGTATACGATTACTCAAAACTGTGCTTGACCGAATATTCTAAACTGCCAGCTGCAAGTGCGTGCTGCACCGGTAGAAAGTTGCACAAAGAGTGTGCCTTTTAAAATTTGCGTGCCGCGATCAATTATGGGGCTCTGGGGTGTTTTGCATCATTTTATTACTGTATAAGGGCTTTAACCTGCAAAAAGAATGTGAACAATGAACCGCCATCAACAAAAAAGAGTTACCATCGACAAAAAAAGTGGCACCTGACAATAAACCACCGCAACCTTACGATAAAATAATATCACAGTCACGTGTGTGTATGTCTAGTTTTTTTTAGTTTTCGAATATTCAGACCGACAAAAACTATTCGAATATTCGATTGATGATCAAAGTTTCTAGTATTCCTTATATTCGGGACAGCCCTATCCAACTCTTAACACAGTTTCCCTTGTTTTGTTTTTGTGGGTTTTTTTCTCCATTTTACATGTGGAGTAAGTTGCTTTTCCTTGACAGTACAAAACACTTCCAAGTTGTTGTTTTTGTCTATAGAGTGGTTGCTGATACAAGTACTGGTTGCAAACTGGCTGGATCTACCTTAGGAAAGAAAGGTTAGTATGGGCCACCATTGACGACTCAAGTCTGTGTCCTTTAAAATTTCCACCGGGCAGATAAACAGCGGCCTCTACAGTCCCTGCAAGGAGTCAATTGACATGAAACCCTAATGCCCTCAGCAGTTTTGCTTGGAACCTTCCTGTGTCTTCCAAGATCCATCACTGTGTGAGAAAGCCGACTGCAAATTCTTTGTTCTCAAAGCTCTCAAGGGGTATGAAACCCCATGTGAAGTCTTATACATGTACTTGTTTCGGACTTGCAAGGCAGAGTCACGCCGAACCAAAATGCATTTTTGGAGTGCTGTGGCCTCGTGGTTAAGGGCATTGGATTCGTGGTCTGTGGATAAAGCTGCAGGTTGTTGGTTCGAGTCCAGCCGGGGGTCATTGTGTGTGTGCCCTTGGGCAAGGCACTTTGTCACTCATTGCTTCTTTCCACCCAGGAGTAAATGGGTACCTGTGAGGGCAGATGGTTATTGTGATTGAATTAGCTTCCTTGCACCTAACAGGCTGCATGGAGCTGTATACTCCCCAGGGAGCTGAGATGGTATTTGGAATGTTTAATTGGCCAAATGACCAGGGGTGATAATAATGTAAAACGCTTTGATCTTAGTTAAAAGCGCTATATAAGAACCCGTTATTATTATTTATTATTTGGAGCGACTCCAAATGACCCAATTACAATTTGGTTTCAGAAAGGCAAAGTTAGTGTACTAATTTTTCATTGACTAGAATCCAAAGTCGTTAAAGACTGCAACAGTCAATCTTTCACATGTAGATACTCCTAATTGTTTCAAACACCATACTTTTAATTCAAATCTTTAAATAATTTTGTTTGGTCCAACACTTAGTTTGCCAGTCTGAAATGGGTGTTAGTGGCTTGGTTGAAGTAGGTTCCTGAATCCGCAAGAGTGGATTTTTAAGGAGGTGGGAGGTTTAGGATTAGAGTTAAAACTTCTCATCTTCATTTGCATCCTTTAGGTGTACCGGCTGAGCAAGTTGGCAAGGAAGCTGCTGAGATGCTCCTGAGGAATCTGGATCATGGAGGATGCGTGGATGAGTACTTACAAGACCAGGTAGGTAAAAGATGTTTCGTAAGAGCGAAGTGAAGTCTCTTGCAAGTGGTTTTTTTTTTAACAAACCAATCAGTATTTTTTAAAGACCAGATATAAATCAAACTATAAAATGTCAAATGTGACAAACTGAGTTGCAAATAAAAATAAAAACAGAATCACCAAAGATGAGCCAAAGTCTACAGTCACTTTTCTTAGTAGAAAGGGCTCAGATTGAAGAAAGCTGGTTCTAAATAGACCATTATCATGTCGCGGTCATCTTGATTTTTTCCTATTCAAATCAACGTAACCAAAGTGAGGCTGGAAGGAAAAATAGTCTGGTTCCTTTTAGCACAATAAACGGTATCATTCAGTATTGTTATTGGATACAGGGAACAGGACTGCAATGGTGGCAGCATGATAAAGGTCTGTATTGGAAACCTGGACAGTTCAATCATTCTTCGGTTTGGTTCTTAAAAAGATTATTCTTGGAAGTTTCGTTTTTAACAGGAAAGGGTCTGTTTATCAAAGTGTTCACCGTCTTTTATTATTTGCCTTTCAGTTGATTATTTTCATGGCCTTAGCCAGTGGGACCTCTAGAGTGTTGTCAGGACCACTGACGCTGCATACAAAAACAGCAATTCACGTCACTGAGAAACTAACCAAGGTAAGCCACATAGATGAATGAAAAAAGTAAAAACTTGTAAAGTATATCTAAAAACAGGCTGGAGTAGTTGGGGCTGGATAGCTGTTAGGCCTGCTGGGTTGAGTCGGACCTGATATTCTGACGTTGAGATAATTTCAAGGTTGAGCAAAGAAATTGACTAAAGCGGGTTTGAACCTGCAACCTCCAGATTACCGTTCCGGTGCTCTACCAACTGAGCTATCCAGCCCTTTGTTGGCGGTTCCCCATTTTGTCAATGTCTTAGTTCAAGGACGCTAGTCAGAAGCCATAAACCCAATATGCCACGTAGCCATAAACCCAATATGCCACGTAGCCAGGGATCTTGCGCAAAGTCACGATGCTAACAACATTAGCAATGCTGCAAACCTGGGAAATAGCAAGCGCAGATCACTCAAAAGAGGATACGTCCTTTTATTTACAAATTTTCAAATCAACCACAAAGGGAAACTGACTCGGTGCATTTTAATAGTTGGGTTTTTTTTAACGATGTGTAATTTTGATTTTCTTTATAGGCGAAATTCAATGTCCAAAAAGTCTTTGGTGAAGGCGATTCTGAGAGGAGTATAATAGAATGCGAGGGCATTGGACTACAGAGATAAAAGGTCAGATGTCTCACAAACAATGATGAAATGAAATATTCTTGAAGAAAAAAATTAAACGTTGCCAAAAAAAGATTTGAATAGGTATAGAACGACCTATTTTCGAGTAGTATAATAGGGGTTAAGTGGCACCACCAACGTCAAATTAGTCCGCCCCCCCCCCAAAAAAAATCCAAGTTGTTTCTGCGGTCATAAATTTTTTTTAAACAAAATTTGGGTCCCCCCCCCCTCCAAGCCTAATCCATTGGAAAGCTCTTGTTCTGAATCCAGTTATGCAAATATCTCAATTCTTAAAAAATCCGATTTTAAGCCCAATTTGTGGTGACAGGACACAAAAGTAATAAGTGTAATTTTATTTTCACAGCTCAGAATATGCCTTTGGTAGCAGGTACAAATGGCAGAAAATAGAGAATTTATTTTTGCAAAATGAAGTAGTTTTTGAGGCTGCATTAAAATTGGATTTTTGATGGTGAAAACCATTCTGCTTTGTAGTACTATGTGTGTTTTACTCTTAGAGTTATTAACGTCTGAGGAATATTTATAGTTTTGGCTTTTAAAGCTCGTTTTATTCAGGAAACCTCTTTAGGAAATGTACTGAGATTTCCTGTTTCATTTCAACTACTGAAATTAGTACACTTTTTTATTTTGAGGAAAATCTAAGTGGCTTGAGTTTGTACAAAGAGGTCATATTTACCCCAAGAACAACAAAAGTCTCAAATAAAACCTTGTCACAAAATAAAAGCAAATTTAAGAGGTTTTCTTTTCATTTCACTTTACAATTTATTTATAAACCTTTTATTTTAAAAAAAGGGAACAACTTAATTTAAAGTATGCTTTACCCGTTAAGTATTTTAAAAAGCTTCAAATTAAAAACAATAATTTACAGCATGAATACTTTATTGCTCGAAATAAGACGTGATTTCTTTGTGCAATTTTATATAGTTTACCCGGTTCTCTTTCACCACAAGTAGGACACCAGTAAGAAATTATATGATTTTTTTGGAGGAGAGATGTAATTGTTTGTGTAAGATTTGCATTTTGAAATATGTCAGTGGTCAGAAAGAGAGAAAATAAATAGTATTTTCTTTGGTAATTAATAGGAATTTAAAAGCATCACTTCCATTTATTCTAAAAGTAACCTGCTGAATTATTTATCAAAAAGCTTACTTGGATTAAAGATTGTACCGGTTTCTGGTATGTGCGTGCGTCGCCGTGGCCATACGCGTCGGCAAAATTAAAAAGGTTTTTTTTCAATGTAAGACTGGTTTGACTGGAATCCTGCTGCTGCACAATTTTAACGTGCTTTTTGATGGGGTTTCGATGGAGTATAAGCTTGATGTGGCCTCTCTGGGCTCCCATATATTTTGCACTAAATTTAGTCAGGCACCATTTGCAGTCATCAGCTGACATTTGAAGGGAAAAAAAAGTTAAAAAAAGAAAGAAAAAAAGCCATGTCGCTGCACCACTTTTGGGGCAAGCACCATACCAGAAACCGAAGCCTTTTGTTTTTGGCCTTAACACCCCGTGAAATTATTCTGTCTGGCTTGCTGTCATTTAGAAGAAATCAAGCAATTTAGAAAATTGTTGGAAATAATGAGTTCTATTGATTAAATCGTGTTTCATGATCAAAAGGTTGTGCATTGTTTTTCATAGTTTTCTCAAAAAGTGTAATATCCAGCGAGCTGAAATTTGACCAGGTTAGGTTTGGAACATTCTTCTTTGGATCTTGAGTGGTGTTATTATTGGAAACAAACAAAAACATGAAAAGCAAATGATCCTATTATGCCTATAAAAGAATCGATACATAAAACAGCTAATCAAAATTAAAAATGTTGAACTTTTACAGAAATTAAAAATTTAGTCAGAAAGGGAGCATATAATTTTAATGACACCTTTCCCTGATAACTTTGATTCACCCCAAAAATATCAATCCTGATTACCATAAAAAACAATATACATACTTGTACAATATTTACAAACAGAAGCGTGAAGAAATGGACAGGTCACCTAACTGAGGTGTTTTGTAGCCAGAGTATTCTATGGACCAGAACCACCAGGGTCATTAAAGGTACTAGACTTGACGATCTCTGAGGAATGCATCCGTTGCGATGGGGATGCATCTCCAGGGCAACACTGTCCTCAAGATAGTTGTGATGCTTGGGTGTTTCTGTGGAGAAACAAGTGGAAAAAAACATCAAAATCGATCCAGCGATGAACTTTAAAAACCTCCCTTCAATTCAAGTTTATCCAGTAATGTTTTAGGAGTTGCAAATAGAGTTTCTTGTCAATATCAGGTTTTGCCCTTCACTGACTTATATTTGTTTCCATCTTTCACTCGGGAGGTAACACACTGAGTACATGTATACAGCATTTATGCATCGGTGAAGGGCAACACCTAATATTGATTTACATCACCCCGTCGCAAATACATCTTATGAAGCCTTTCATTTCTTGAAGTTTTTTGTTAACTCAACAAGAAAATAATCACAGCAAAGATGAGTACGGTACTCGAACCCCCAATTTTCTGTGTCTGTGTGCTTAACTAGTGCAGACAGATGCAGGTCATGGGTTCAGGTCCCACCTGAGTGAGCTTGTGATTTTTCTCAAAAGCTCCCAGATACTGCGAACAGCACTAAGATAGTACTCATAAAGTCAAGTGTAGAAGGGCAAATGTTCCATACTAACATCGGAGATTTCTGCCAGTCAATCAAAAGTCAAGTACCAAGTCAGTTACAATTCAGTTTCAAGTGATGCCACAAATGGAATGTGTTCTTTCAAAACCAGACAGCTTGAAGCAAAGATACGGCCAAAAACCCATTGGTGATTTTTTTTTTAATTCATTTCTTGGGCAAATTGTTTGTCAAAATGTTATATGTATAACAACTGTTAATAGTTTCAGACAGTAATTTTGTCTTTAAAGGTGATTTTGGGGGGATGATCTGTAGAGTTGGGTAATTTTGTACAGTATCAGTTCAAGAAATGTATTACCAAAAAGTTTCAAAGGCAGTTTCTCCGTTGTCATTTTTGTAACATCAAGAACTTGTTATGAGCATATTATCTTCCAAGGGAAAGTACATTTCCAACACATTAAAACCACATTGCAGAGGAAGATCCATATTTAATCAATATTAAACAAAAAGCTCGTTTTCGACCAGCATCTGAGAAGAGTCCATTTTGGACAGAAGCAGTCACAAATAAGTTCAGAACTAACAGAATTAACAAGGATTGTCAAAGTTCACAGCCAGTAACTTGAGACTAGCTTGAGATGACTTGAGAGGACCTTTGAATGCAGCTCGTAACAAAACTTACATCTGCCTGCAACAAAGATACCACCGAAAGGCTTTCTTTCTTACCTGGTTCCTCTCTGCATCCTTCCAACTCGTGTCTTCTGCACTCAAACACGCCGTCCACGCACAGGCAGTAGCTGCAGTTCCGGTACACCCAGTCGCCGTGGTTGACGGCGTCGCAGCTGCCGTTCACGCGGTGCTCGCAGTACCGCCCGGTGTACTCAGCTTTACAGAAGCAGAACGATCGAAGGAAGCCCGTGCCGCCGTTCATGCAGTGGGTGGAATCGTGTCTGTACGCGGCTGTTGATGCGAACAGATCAGGTAAATGTCATCAGGTTAAAAATGTGACCATGCAATGTTTAATAGTTTCATTTTCTTTTAAGAGAGGATTGGCAAAAATCAGGGGTATCATTACAAAGACTAGTGTGGAAAAGGCAAATACTATTCAAGTACATGTTCAACTTGGGGAGGCGGGGGGATACCCCGTGTTATTTGTTCCAACTTCTTAATGTGAAAGCTCTTAATTCAAGGACTGGCAAAAACAAGGGGCACCCGAAAAGTGTGAAAAAAGCATACATTTTTCGGTAATAAACTGAAAAATAGCACATATCCTGTTAATATTTCGAGAAAAGGTTCATATAGGTCCATCTTTTTACGACTTTTCTTTTAGTAAAATCAACCCCTAATTAGGTTGTAAACTTAGTTGAAATTTAGGTATGATCGAGAAATGGCCAAAAAAAATGTGTTACTGTTGCTCCCTCCTTTCAACCATAAAAAGAACTTCTGAATTTATGCCATCTCCATTTCTACCAGAGATTTCCCACCCGTTTTTACGCAGATGTTATTGAACATGATGTGTGCCCCCTCCCCCACTCTGACAACGATCCGCCCCCGATAAGGAAAAGGCTATACCACTACCAGCAACTTATTTACGCGTACTATGCTTCAAATGACCCCATTTATTGACAAAATGACCCCAATCTAAAACCCTGGACACGGGCACCTGCGTCCCCTCAGAATTGGCAGAGATACACCCCTATTGTCATCCCTGTTGCCCACCTTATCCCCTTAGTGTGGTTTATTTCACGCGGACAAGGAGAGTCAGTTAACCAGGATTACGTCCTGTGGCGACAGTCAGTCACGAACCATTATCATTCTGATCCCACCACTTCAAAATGTAATCCTCGGGTTTAACTTGAGTCATTGGAAGCTTCAACATTGATTAGTGTTGGAGCGTCTCATTATCAAGGCTTTGATGTTGGAGATTGGGAGAGCAGGTTTTGTTCTGAGGAACAGTAAACGGTCATTGAGATTGCACCAATAGGAATGTATCTACGTGGCAAAACACTGCATATCGTATGAACCCAGTTGATTGTTATCACAAAACTCGCAATTTCCACCTTTTAAAATCTTTTTCTTTATTTTCCCAATTTGTTTTAATTTTCCCACTTTTTTTTCAATGACCACATCAAAAAAATACATTGATCATCCATGAACCACCATGAATTTCATCACAAACTCTTCCCTCAAACTCTTGCATCCGCAGTTGTCATTTTCTTTCTATCTTGGAAACAGGTCAACTCGTACGCGAACCAACTCGTACGCGAGTCAACTCGTACGCGGATTGGTCAACTCGTACGCGAAACAACTCGTACGCGAACCAACTCGTACGCGTGCCAACTCGTACGCGAGCCAACTCGTACGCGAACCAACTCGTACGCGAACCAACTCGTACGCGGGCCGTTTTAGGAGTGGTTTCGAGGATTGGGTTGGCATGGTTGGGAAGAATTTGGAGGGCGCTGTGCGTTGCTGCGGTAACATGACGTGGGGCGAGACGGCTCTATAGTGTGACGGGTAGTCCGTAGTTCAATGTGTGACCGTTGTGTGTGATTGGGAGTGAACCCGTGAATGATGATAATAAAGTAACTGATTTTTGTAAATTCTGATTTTAACAAAAAATAAAAGTCAACTCCCCATTTTTTCTTTTTTTTACAAAATATTATTTGGATATATAATAATTAGGACTAAAAAAACTATCTGACCCAAGCAAAAAACTGGCGGACGCTGTCCGTACAACTGTATAAGCATGCGTGATGCTATATTCCTTTTTTTTTTTTTATAGTAGCTCCTTTTTATACAATAGACCTCGCAAAAATCGGTGTTTTCTTGTCATTGTACTTGTCTAACCAACCAGCAATTGTACCGCGGCATACACAGGTTACAGCGATTCAATCATGCAGTCTTTATACAGTGCGCGGTGCGGCGGGAACCTATCATACTGCACTGGTTATCGCGAAGACAACTTCCCAATCAATCAAGCGAACTTGTAAAAAAACAAACAAACAAACGCAGAATTCTTCTCTAAAAAATCGCGAATGTAAGTAGCACTGGCGGATTCAAAAATCAACTACATTTAATTTGAAAATCTCAACCTTTCAGAAAAGGTAAAATTATGCCGACCTACCGTACCGAACCTAATTTCATCTGTCCATGTGAGCTAAACCAATCGTCTAAAGTCACGCGTACGAGTTGGTCCGCGTACGAGTTGGTCCGCGTACGAGTCGGTCCGCGTACGAGTCGGTCCACGTACGAGTCGGTTCGCGTACGAATTGACCCGCGTACGAGTTGGTCGCGTACGAGTTGGTTCGCGTACGAGTTGACCTGTATTCTCTATCTTGACCCAAAACCCTAAATTTCGCAAGTCCTTCAGTTAGTTAAGAATGGTCATTATAGGTACATAGCTTGGACTATTTCTTTGTTTGTGGGATACTTTTTGGGAGGACACCCTGTAAAAGTGACAATTAATACCAATTCATTTTTTTTTTTTAAGATTGAGGGTAAAAATGGCTACAGTTTCTTACTGGGTTCCCTGATATCTTCTCTTGGTTTGTGCCGAGTGGTGGCAGCACCACCCCTCCCTTTGCCACCGGTATCGTTGAGTCTCCACAGCTTGCTGCGGCCCGTTGACCCGCTGGATACGGACCCCGTGGCCGGGACTTCGGTGGAATAGGTGAAATGATCCAATTCAAGCACGACTTCCCGAAATTGGCCTAAAGAAAAATTGAAGATATATTGACGAAATTAGCAGCCCAGACACGTAACTCTCAGTGCTTAAGCTTTGTAAATTGTAAAACATTTCGGATTTTTTCTTCTTCAATTCCTTACCAAAACAGGACAGCAGTTGAATCTGAAACTAATCTCGAAATTGTAATGAATCTGTTCGGATTCGTTTCACCACATGTCAATAATTATCAAGTTGAAAGTTCCAATAAACATCTGCTCATCAATGCCGCATGTTTGAAGGGAAGACCCGGAACAGTTTACTAATCACGGCCGAACTTCATCTTTAAAAGTTTTAGTTTTCATAAAAGGCAAAGTTCTGCTTTAAACTTAGGAAAGCATGGATAGAGTGGAGGGAAAAAAAGGAATTGTAAAAAAAAAAAATTGTCCAAAAATTGAAAAATTAGGGGCAGGCTTTAATTAAAATTAAACTATACTTTGAAAACTACTTGAAACGTGCATTCTCGAAAACAAAGTTTTAAAAATGGACACAGTTTTTTCGGGACGGGTGCTTCCAAATGAGCCATGTTCACTGTAAAGTGTATTCACTGAATGCATACATTCTTAAGATAATGTTTTAGCGTAACTGTTTAATCGGTGTAGAAACCCGACTCCCTCTCCATTGCCGTAATCTCTCAACAGGTGTTGCTGGGTAAACACATTCACAATCGTGAGTCACTGCCATGGACTGGTTGAGTAGGACCACCTCGTGTTTGTTTACGGTATTAACATGATGACCATACCTCTGCACTATCATCATGGTCAAACATTACAGCATACAAGTCCATTGTGTCGGCAGATAGTGCTTGCTACTCGCGTTTCCAAGAACTACGACTTTTGGACGAATTTGTAAGACATGTTAGAGTTTCAAGGACTTATTGTTAAAGACTGATGGCATCCTCGATGTTTCTAGTACCATTTAGGGCCATCAATTTCGCAGAAAAAGCTTGGAATTTTCCTGCTGGACTTTTCTCAAGTTTTTGTTTTTGTTCAGGCAAAGTTCCATGAAAGCTCAAACGCAGTCTTGAAAAAAAAGTATGGAAACAAACTTTTGAAAATGCTCACCTCTCTTGCGTTCCGAAGCAGCTCCCGAAGCCAAAACGATTACAAACAGACAAACGAAGAGTACCCTGCAAATGGAGGGAGGGGGATGGAAAATGAAAACACAAATCGTACTTAAGCAATAGAGGAAGGAAACATATTGCGGGGGAGACGCAAAATTTGTGCCAATTTGCAAAATCGTAGCAAATTACATATGTATTGCGTAAATTAACTACAAAATGCTGGTTACGAACGTTTGGGAAGAGGAGTATACGATTTTTGGGAGTATTTATTGACATGTTTTTCTGACCCTATTGTGTTGACAACCGCGCCATAAAAATAACGAAACCTTGTTTGTCGGCCCTCTACCTTTTCCCCACTGTCAGACTGTTGAATCCCAAATTCAGGTCAAAATGTCAACAATGTTTATCTTTGAAACGATGTTAAAGCATATTGAATTATGTATCCTGGTGAAACAAGTTTAGCTGCATGGATAAACCGCATTCCGACACATTTATATTTTTGGTCAAAGGGTGGGGAAGTACAGCTGATGGAAAGAATACAGACAGAGTCTATGGGGAATCTGTGCTAAACCTTTTAAGATTTTCAGTATGTTTCTTTTCTATAAAAAGTTGACTGAAAATCATTTATAAATGGAGAAAAAGTCAGACTCCTGCATTCTATCAAACGAAATTGATGAGGGTGGTCATAGGTATTAAAATGTTCAGGGACATTTATTCTTGGTATTCATGATCTCACCATACCACAAACCCCGTGCGTGGAAGCACATGTACATCACTAACCCACACCCAAGCATGCACGACCAGCTGATAACATCCAATGGTTACCCCATCCAATTGCCAACGCAACGACAACCCAGTGCAAGTCCCCGTACTTACCCGTAATCAGCTGTAAGTTGCATGGCAACTCCTCCCTCAAATGCTAGGGGAAGCAGAACCAACCATCCAGTCAATCTGTAGTTATAATCCACAAGCTATGCCCGTCAAGTTTGGCTCAGTTTCAGGAAAACATTTCCACAAGATTTCGGTAAAGATCCAGGAGCGAGTATCTGCAGTGATCCAACAGTTCAAGCCCTTCTTGAAGGAAGTCTTGCACCAAAGCCAAAGCAGCTAGCCTAGCCCCAAGGCGGGAACGTTGTCCTTGTTCTGCCTGTCTTGTCAATGAACTCAGCCAAGCGTACCAAGTCCAGAGCCAACGTTGATTCAGCTCGGCTTGATTGACGGCTACCCTTTTCACACTTTACCGCGATGGGGGCACAATGGTTTCCCTGGAAGCCCAGCCCATGTGAGCCCACCAACTGGTTTGGGTATTCAGTATAAGGGCCCTTTGTGGTTGTCTAATCCCCCGTTCAAGAAAACAATGGATAGTAATTATGCAAATAAGGGTGGATAGGCTGTTGCTGCTGCTGCTGATATGCAGTTACGGGAGCGCTGGGGGAGTTCTATTATGGTAAGATGTGGTGAGACCATACTATGGGAATGGTTTGGTATGGGATATTCGTCACTATAGGTGCACACCTGGACTCAAGATGCATTCAAAGATCAAGAGCAGCTGTGCGCAGTAAAGATGGTTTAGCTCTGGCAAGAGGAACGTTGTGAGCGTTCGTTTAGGTCTTATGTTTCCACTTGTTATCTTTATGTTTTAAATCTTAAAATTTCCAGCTTCTTGGCTTATCTAGGGTTTTCTTTTTATTTTAAGCCCATTAGGCTCACGCGTTTGATTGGAAGTTTTCCCGAGCCCTTCAATTAATGACAATTTCTTGGGAGGAGAGGAGGAGGGGCGGATCCGGGGGAGGCGCGGATGGGGGGGGGGGGGGGTCAACTCTTTCCCCAATAAAATTGTCGTCATGTCATAGAAATTCATTTAAAATAATGCGCAGCCCTCCCTCCCCCTCCCCCCCCCCCCCGCCCGCCCGCCCGCTCTGAAACCCCCCCCCCCCAAAAAAAATTATACTGTTAATAATGTCCGCCTTTGCACTAAATACGGACAGAGCCAGCTTGGTTGGTTGGGGGGGGGTATTTGTACACTATATTCTGTAATATAGTGTTAACAATTGTCCGATTTGAACAGCACCCCAAGCACACCGGTTCGAACACCCCCCCCCCCCCCCCCCCCCCCGGCCGCCTATTGATTTTCAGAGGCCAAGTGTCCGGAGGAAAAACCCTTCTACATTTCAGGATTTTTTTACTGATGGAAACCTCCCCCACCCCCCTGCAATAATTCCTGGATCCGCCCGGGGGAGGGGGGGGGGGCGTACCAACCCGAACCCAAATCAACTCGGACCCAAACCATGCCAATTCGGACTGCATGCCAACTCGGCCCATATAAACCAACTCGGCGTGAGTTGGCAGTTTCCGAGTTGGCATGTGTCCGAGTCGGCGTGGGTCCGAGTTGGTTTGGGTTCGAGCCATAGAGCTATAAATTGGTCCCGGTGCTCCGACCCTGCTCCTAAACCGCTTATTCCACATGGTTTTTGTGTCCCTTTAAAAATTTAGGTTCAGTGTGACCGAATCAAAACAAACAAAATTTTGATTTTAATTATAATAGCAGCACTTCAGATTAATTTGAATTTGTTATCGAAATATGTTATTAATATACAGTTGTAGTCGGAAGTCAATACCACCTTTTTTTCAAGACTATCATTTCGTTTTGATTCAGTCACATTGTTTGGTTTCATCTATATAAAAAAAATGAAACATACCACACAGAGAAAACAACGAATTGACAAACCATTTCATAGTCTCTTTGTTGTTTAATATTCATCTTTCTTCAACTATTCACGTAATGCAATTATCAGCAATTAAAGTAAACATTAAACGATTTTAAATAATTTTGAGCAAATGTCTACATATAAAAGGTAATGAAAAATATACAAGTCTATGTGTTTGTAAGTACATGCTCATAAACCTTAGCTATAGGCTTACCTATGGGCCTCACTTACGAGTTGGCCAAGCTCCCTGAATGCATTTCATTAATTGTTAACTGTTGAATGCGATGGCGCCAGACTATTTATGCAGGCACAATGCAGCCTTATTTCACTGTCATTTTTGTTAACATGGCTTCAACATTAGGGAATGTTTAATTACAAATTTTAAATCATTCATTGAAGCAGACTGGAATTTATTATAAACTAATTTGCCTTCATTTCTCTACGCAAGTTCAACATTTTAAAATTTTACCCAACTTTCAATTAAATATGGCCGACTCGTGAATAAGGCCCATGACTCAGTATTTGAAAATCTGGGTGTTTTTTTTTACATTAAACACAGAGTACATTTGCATTTTTGCTTTATGTTCTTTTAAATATTTTGAACGAGACCTGGATTTTTTTCACTTTTGGGGGGCACTTTTATCTATCGTTAATATACACAATGCTACCGTATATACCTTGAATAACATGTTGTTCCAATTTCCAAGTACGTCATTATCTTGTTTACATGGATACACGTTAAGTATGGTGTATATACAAGATCAAAATATGTACATACAAGATAATTTTGTGGTCATACATCAAAAGAAAACGGGGTTTACCCGATGTTCCCCAATACCTGTGCACCCCAAAATTCTTAGGGTTAGGATTAGATGGTTAGGGTTAGGGAACATAGGTATTGGGGAACATAGGTATGCAACCAAAGACAATTGCCCTGTACCGCATGTACACGGTACTTTGCGTGCAACTGGATGCATTAAACTTTTCATGAGATAGGTGTACGACCACATTTTATCGTAGAGGTACTTGGAAATTGTACGTACACGAAAGAAAATTATACGTTAACGCTTAATTCTAAAAAAAAAATCGCCAGTTTAATTATTATCTCTTGTTTTATTCCAAAAAAGAACACACCCCATTACCCTGCGGAGGGTTACATCAAAAGGTTTAAATAATACAAATGAAGTTCAAATAGTTAGCTAAGAGCACATTCAATTTAAACTAATATGACATTAATTTCTTTTAACGTAGCAGACAGAAAAGATGACATGAGATGACATGAGAAGGATAAATTTGTCCTTTTCAGATAAAACACTGAACTCTGTGTTACTTTAACGAACAGTATCATGCACGTTTTTTCTCAAAGAATTTTACATTGGTCAGGAACATAAATCCTGCTGAGTGGCTTTCACCTGATTTTGCTAAGCGCATATATATTTTCTGCTTACCAACTCCATGCTATTTTACAGTGAACCTGAACCATTTCCTTATATCTTCAATTTACTGGATCGGTAAAGAGTAAATTCATGATTCAATAGCCCCAACTATTTTGACATCTTGAAAGTTTATGAACACGGAACACTTTTGTCAATACATTTGTCTGACATGTTGGATTTTAGTTAAATTTTCTCAACAATGCTACGAGGGTTTTCTATATAGGTCATTCTTGATGAATCCGGGCACGTGAACACTTTACATTCACGAGGCCCCCTTCAATGGAGAAACAATAGCTACCAAAATGCTTTTGCCATTGATGGGGGCCTCTGTGATAGAATTTATAGCGTGCCAGGATTGGTCTATAAGATTATGCTGGTTATTATGGAAAATCCTAGGATTATAGGCCACTTTGTCTACATTATTGATATACTTTTAGAACTGTACACAAATGAGAAGCTTTTAATTACATATGTAATTTATTTTTTGCATGGTAATTGTTTTTTTTCTCTGAACACACAACAAATATTTGGTGAATCCTATGACAATTTATACTGAGCCAGCCTGCGATATGGTTAGGAAGATAGCCATCAGAACAGGGTCGGTGTCAGCTGAGTTCTCGTCGTCACTCAAAGTTGGTCGTGAAAGGCCGTTCCAGATTCCAGAAGTTACCTGCGTGTAGTTAAAACAAAAAAGAGCAATTAACTTAGGCATCAAGTGGACTGTTAACACGTTTTGTTTTGTTGCTCAGCAGAAACAAAAGACCTCAGCGAACAAGTCGAATCAAGTTAACCTAGGTTCAGTCGATCAGGACCACCTACACAAAATACATCACCTGATCAATTTCACGTTTTAAATGCTAATTTAAGCTTGGTGAACAGTAGTCAATAATTTTGGAAACTTCAAGGAAACTTCTGCATTTTGTATTCCGGGTGTTAGAGATCAGTACAACAGTGGACGAACAATATGCTAACGGTTGGACGGACTGACAAACTGAGGCTAGCATTGACATGAGAGGATAGGCACCTAACTTTATAAGAAAAACACTAATAACAACATAGCCACACTCGTTTTTTTCTTATTGTGAAGAGAATGATAAAGGTACACATGCAAATTGTACCCCCAAAATCAACCGTTCACTCAAAGGACGAACATGTGGCTGTTGAGAACATGACATGTAAGCAGTTATTACCTCCACGCATCATTATGGCGATTGGGGAATTCCGGGACATGAAGCCATCGCAATGTAGAGCGGATGATCCCACAAACTTGGAGATGTATCTGTATTGCAAAATAAAAACAAATCGATTTATTAATAAAAAAAGATTTATTCCTGACACTCTGAACACTGCACTGTTTCAAGGCCATACACACCATGCCTTAAGTCAGGCAGATTGTTGCACAATATGATGGAATTGTTCATTTGATCATAAAAACATGAAATTTGGCACAGTCACCGTAGTATGTCATGGGAAAGATATTTCGCTATTCGCAGATTTGTCCTTTGAACAAAATATAGAATAACATGCAATGAACGCCATTTTGAAAATTTTGAAAATTGCTTACTATTCTTTGGTGGTTTTTCAAAGGACAAATCTGCGATGGCCCTATTGTCAAATATCTTTCCCATGACATGCATACTCTGACTGTGTGCCACAATTTTACTCCTTTATCAAACAGAAAAATCTTATCACCAATTTGCTGTACTAAAGTCAATCTGCTGTACTAAAGGATTTGAATTAATGGTCCCCTATCAGGCAGATGCTGGCACATACAGCCGCTGAAATGAAGCAGGCTGCGCGTGCCAGGACCGCCTGCGCGTCTGGAAAAATAATCCAAATTCAGTCTTGGGCCAATGCTTACCCCATCACTGTTTTAGTTGACTGGCTTCCATGTAGGAACGGCATACAAAGCTCATCCAGTGAGGTCATCGTTCAGTCTCCCTCCTGGCTTGCATTCTCATTCGTCATCTCAGTGGGATGCTGCAGCCTCCTCCTCATCCAGCTCGTCTTAGGATGGTTACGCCACTCCCGAAACACTGTCTAAATCTCGTGCTGTTGAAGACAAAAAACTCGGCCTTTGCTGGGCAAGGTTAGTATTTATTCCAACTACATGTATCACAAGTCGTCGAGTCAATTCCAAGTCACGTCATTTGGTCTTTCGTCACCTTACAATAGGCCTGACTATTTATTGTTCTTAGGCCAAGCTAAATGAAAACAAATTATTACAACTTACACACAATTTACCTTTTTTCTTCACATTTTTCTCATTCACGAGAAAAGATGCAGCACTCCAGCGACAAAGTGGAACTATATCTTCCAATTACCTGCCTGTTATTTTGCAGTGCGCAAAAGATGCGCGCCTTGAAAATTAAAGGGATAGTAATAACAGAACATGTTTTGGCAATTGCATGCCGACCTTGATTGATCGGACTTACACAAAATAATATTAAGCAAGTTGACCTGTAGTCAAAATGTCATGGGAGAAAAATGTTATTACATGTACAATATTCACATTCGCGATTGTGGCCAACAATTTGAATGAATCTGTTGTCCTCATACATTAACAGTGCTTTTAACCTTGGACTAATGAGCTCGTCAACACAAACCAAAAGGAACGCGTATACCGCGCTCATGCAATAAAGAAACGATGTTTTTAGGTAAATACCAAAACACCAATAGAAACTTATACACACTATAGGTGTAGTCCTTATATAAACACGCTAAATACAGATACGATATATGAAATAGAAAACTGTGTTTTTTAACCCCGGTGCCGACCATTCCTAGTCGGACTTACAAGTTAGTTTTATATTTATTTTGACATGGACAAATATTGTTACGATTTCAAGTTTTGCATTTGGAAATATACGAGAAGCAAAACAGGAGTTCTTCCTTAGTGCGCCCCATAATAAGATACACACACTATCCTTACAGAAACACGTTAAAAGGTAAAGTTTACACATATATGAAGTTCAAGTTAACTCGCGCCGACATGTGTTGGTCGGACTTACAACTCGCCTTTTATGTACATTTTGACGAGAACAATACTGTTACGATTCAAAAAATTTACATTTCGAGAAGAAACGACAAGCAAATAACGGTCCTTCTATGGGGCGCCCCCATTTTTGCGAAGGTAACTTTCATCGTAGAAACTCTGACACCAATTCATGTTGGAATATACGAAGATGGTTACAGGAGAAGAAACATTGTACGTCCGTACAGGACTATGATTTCCTTCTAAAAAGAAGTCTATGAATCGTTTGTGAAGAGGCAATGAAAACAATTAATCCAGCCTCAACATGGTTCGAACTACAAAAAAAAACCAACACCTTTACGTTTTTGCCAATCTTGCAAATCGGACTTACAAAAAAGGCATGATTGTGTCACATTTGTACCCGATTCGAAAACGGCCGATTTAACCGGCTTTATTTTCTTGGCGTTTGACAGTCGACTCCACTCGCTCTTAGTTTAAATTACTCCCAAAAAATGTAATTTGCAATTGATCTGTTCTGTCCTCGCACCGTGCTCTTAATCTTCACAGATAAAACACGTCAACACAATACTACAGCGTATAGTTTCATACAACAAGGAAACGCTGCTTAAAGGTAAACAACAAGACATCAGTAAGCTAAACACACTATAGTCCTTACAAAGTATCAATTAATAATGATGACATGATTTCTTTGCCATGCCGACCTTTTCTGATCGGACTTACAAATTGTTTTTTTATGAGTTACATTTGACAAGAATGAGAAACAAAACAGAACAATATCCATACGAAGGTAGGTTTGACAGCTGTTGAAATTATGCCGAAACAGTTACGAGACTTCAAAAACGGTGTCCGAATAGGGTATTATTTTCTCCTCATGTCGGTGAATTATTTTGTGAACGGAGGCAACGAAAGCAAATTTAATCCTGCCTCGACACGGTTCATATACAACAAAACAATACATTTTATGTCCCCGTTTGCCAATCTTTTCCGATCGGACTTACCAAAAAAGGCGTAATTTATTTAAACATTAAAAATATGTAAATGAAGTACCGGCCGTAAATCATTTCGTCAGTTTAACACAGATTGCACGGTCAATCGATTTAGCAAAGGATTTTGTGGATCACTCACCTCGCAACTTTACCATTGATTGCGGAGTTGGTAATTTCTTAAAAAATTTCGTGACATTTGACGCAAGAATTGAATCCCAGATTGCCAAGTGGAGATATGGAGGAGTAGCGAATCTCCTCGTGCTTGTAATTCTAACGAATAGTAATAATCCTTCGCGAATTTATTCGGAACATCCTATATCAATCATTCCGTGAAGTTTGTCGAGAATTCCAACGTGAATCGGTCATTTGACGGGGCGATTCCGCTTTGTGATATTTGTGGGAGATTGCCGAGTGATCGAGTCGCTCTGATTTTTATGAAATTTGTCGGGTGACTCAACTCGCTCGTGATTTTTACCCAAAGCTTGATAATTTCAATGAATCTGCTCTGTCCCCATACAGTGCTTCTAACCTTGCAATGATGAAACGTCAACGCAGACCAATATATACCGCCTTCATACAATAAGGGAACGCTACTTTAGTAAACACCAAACACCAGTGTGAGTTGTACTCGCCAGTCCAAAAAAACTCAATAATGACATGATTTCTTTGCCATGCCGATCTTTCCTAATCGGACTTACAAGTCGTTTTTTACATTAAAAAGAAGAAATGAGGAGCAAAACGGAACAATATCCAAACGAAGGTAGGTTTCACTCTGTAGGATTGACAGCTATTGAAAACTGTGTGCGCGATGGGGTACTATTTTGTCCCCATAAGAAAATATCTGTTAATTATTTTGTGAGAACAGAGGCAACGGAAGGAAATTTAATCCTGCCTGCTCACATACAACAAACATTACATTTTTATGTCCCCGTTTGCCAATCTTTTCCGATCGGACTTACCAAAAAGGAGTAATTTATGTAAAAATATGTAAATAAAGTACCGGCCGTAAATCATTTTGTCCATTTAACACAGATTGCACGGTCAATCGATTCAAAAAAAGATTTTGTGGATCACTCACCTCGCAACTACATCATTGATTACGGAGTTGGTAATTTCGTCACATTTTGATCTAGCGTGAATCAATTCGTTAATTTTAATGTCCACACTTTCGTCAATTTTTGAATTAGGAAGACACCCTCTGTTTCGAGTTAAATTCGCAATACTGCCATTTGTCTGATAGAAAGTTTATGCTTAAATTGGGGCAGCAGACCCGCCACTGCCATTTGTCTTATAAAAAGTTTATGATTAAATTGGGGCAGCAGACCCGCCACTGCCATTTGTTTTATAGAAAGTTTATGATTAAATTGGGGCAGCAGACCCGCCACTGCCATTTGCCCGATAGAAAGGTTATGATTAAATTGGGGCAGCAGACCCGCCACTGCCATTTGCCTGATAGAAAGTTTATGATTAAATTGGGGCAGCAGACCCGCCACTGCTATTTGCCTGATAGAAAGTTTATGATTAAATTGGGGCAGCAGACCCGCCACTGCCATTTGTCTTATAGAAAGTTTATGATTAAATTGGGGCAGCAGACCCGCCACTGCCATTTGCCTTATTGAAAGTTTATGATTAAATTCGGGCAGCAGACCCGCCACTGCCATTTGTCTTATAGAAAGTTTATGATTAAATTGGGGCAGCAGACCCGCCACTGCCATTTGCCTTATAGAAAGTTTATGATTAAATTGGGGCAGCAGACCCGACACTGCCATTTGTTTAATAGAAAGTTTATGATTAAATTGGGGCAGCAGACCCGCCACTGCCATTTGCCTTATAGAAAGTTTATGATTAAATTGGGGCAGCAGACCCGCCACTGCCATTTGCCTTATAGAAAGTTTATGATTAAATTGGGGCAGCAGACCCGCCACTGCCATTTGCCTTATAGAAAGTTTATGATTAAATTGGGGCAGCAGACCCGCCACTGCCATTTGCCTGATAGAAAGTTTATGATTAAATTGGGGCAGCAGACCCGCCACTGCCATTTGTTTTGTAGAAAGTTTATGATTAAATTGGGGCAGCAGACCCGCCACTGCCATTTGTCTTATAGAAAGTTTATGATTAAATTGGGGCAGCAGACCCGCCACTGCCATTTGCCTTATAGAAAGTTTATGAATAAATTGGGGCAGCAGACCCGCCACTGCCATTTGTTTTATAGAAAGTTTATGATTAAATTGGGGCAGCAGACCCGCCACTGCCATTTGCCTGATAGACAGTTTATGATTAAATTGGGGCAGCAGACCCGCCACTGCCATTTGCCTTATAGAAAGTTTATGATTAAATTGGGGCAGCAGACCCGCCACTGCCATTTGCCTTATAGAAAGTTTATGATTAAATTGGGGCAGCAGACCCGCCACTGCCATTTGCCTTATAGAAAGTTTATGATTAAATTGGGGCAGCAGACCCGCCACTGCCATTTGTCTAATAGAAAGTTTATGATTAAATTGGGGCAGCAGACCCGCCACTGCCATTTGCCTTATAGAAAGTTTGATTAAATTGGGGCAGCAGACCCGCCACTGCCATTTGTCTAATAGAAAGTTTATAATTTACTTGGGGCAGCAGACCCGCCACTGCCATTTGTCTTATAGAAAGTTTATGATTAAATTGGGGCAGCAGACCCGCCACTGCCATTTGTCTAATAGAAAGTTTATAATTAAATTGGGGCAGCAGTCACGCCACTGCCATTTGCCTGATTGAAAGTTTATGATTAAATTGGGGCAGCAGACCCGCCACTGCCATTTGCCTTATAGAAAGTTTATGATTAAATTGGGGCAGCAGACCCGCCACTGCCATTGCCTGATAGAAAGTTTATGATTAAATTGGGGCAGCAGACCCGCCACTGCCATTTGTCTAATAGAAAGTTTATGATTAAATCGGGGCAGCAGACCCGCCACTGCCATTTGCCTGATAGAAAGTTTATGATTAAATTGGGGCAGCAGACCCGCCACTGCCATTTGCCTTATAGAAAGTTTATGATTAAATAGGGGCAGCAGACCCGCCACTGCCATTGCCTGATAGAAAGTTTATGATTAAATTGGGGCAGCAGACCCGCCACTGCCATTTGCCTTAAAGAAAGTTTATGATAAAATTGGGGCAGCAGACCCGCCACTGCCATTTGCTAATAGAAAGTTTATGATTAAATTGGGGCAGCAGACCAGCCACTGCCATTTGCCTTATAGAAAGTTGATGATTAAATAGGGGCAGCAGACCTGCCACTGCCATTTGCCTGATAAAAAGTTTATGATTAAATTGGGGCAGCAGACCCGCCACTGCCATTTGTCTTATAGAAAGTTTAAGATTAAATTGGGGCAGCAGACCCGCCACTGCCATTTGTCTTATAGAAAGTTATGATTAAATTGGGGCAGCAGACCCGCCACTGCCATTTGCCTTATAGAAAGTTTATGATTAAATAGGGGCAGCAGACCCGCCACTGCCATTGCCTGATAGAAAGTTTATGATTAAATTGGGGCAGCAGACCCGCCACTGCCGTTTGCCTGATAGAAAGTTTATGATTAAATTGGGGCAGCAGACCCGCCACTGCCATTTGTCTTATAGAAAGTTTATGATTAAATTGGGGCAGCAGACCCGCCACTGCCATTTGCCTTATAGAAAGTTTATGATTAAATTGGGGCAGCAGACCCGCCACTGCCATTTGCCTTAAAGAAAGTTTATGATTAAATTGGGGCAGCAGACCCGCCACTGCCATTTGCCTTATAGAAAGTTTATGATTAAATTGGGGCAGCAGACCCGCCACTGCCATTTACCTTATAGAAAGTTTGATTAAATTGGGGCAGCAGACCCGCCACTGCCATTAGTCTTATAGAAAGTTTATGATTAAATTGGGGCAGCAGACCCGCCACTGCCATTTGTCTGATAGAAAGTTTATGATTAAATTGGGGCAGCAGACCCGCCACTGCCATTTGCCTTATAGAAAGTTTATGATTAAATTGGGGCAGCAGACCCGCCACTGCCATTTGCCTTATAGAAAGTTTATGATTAAATTGGGGCAGCAGACCCGCCACTGCCATTTGCCTTATAGAAAGTTTATGATTAAATTAGGGCAGCAGACCCGCCACTGCCATTTGTCTAATAGAAAGTTTATGATTAAATTGGGGCAGCAGACCCGCCACTGCCATTTGCCTTATAGAAAGTTTATAATTAATTGGGGCAGCAGACCCGCCACTGCCATTTGTCTTATAGAAATTTATGATTAAATTGGGGCAGCAGACCCGCCACTGCCATTTGTCTTTTAGAAAGTTTATGATTAAATTGGGGCAGCAGACCCGACACTGCCATTTGCCTTATAGAAAGTTTATGATTAAATAGGGGCAGCAGACCCGCCACTGCCATTTGCCTTATAGAAAGTTTATGATTAAATTGGGGCAGCAGACCCGCCACTGCCATTTGCCTGATAGAAAGTTTGATTAAATTGGGGCAGCAGACCCGCCACTGCCATTTACCTTATAGAAAGTTTATGATTAAATTGGGGCAGCAGACCCGCCACTGCCATTAATCTTACAGAAGTTTATGATTAAATTGGGGCAGCAGACCCGCCACTGCCATTTGCCTTATAGAAAGTTTATGATTAAATTGGGGCAGCAGACCCGCCACTGCCATTTGTCTATAGAAAGTTTATGATTAAATTGGGGCAGCAGACCCGCCACTGCCATTTGCCTTATAGAAAGTTTATGATTAAAGTGGGGCAGCAGACCCGCCACTGCCATTTGCCTTATAGAAAGTTTATGATTAAATTGGGGCAGCAGACCCGCCACTGCCATTTGCCTTATAGAAAGTTTATGATTAAAGTGGGGCAGCAGACCCGCCACTGCCATTTGCCTTATAGAAAGTTTATGATTAAATTGGGGCAGCAGACCCGCCACTGCCATTTGCCTGATAGAAAGTTTATGATTAAATTGGGGCAGCAGACCCGCCACTGCCATTTGTCTAATAGAAAGTTTATAATTAAATTGGGGCAGCAGACCCGCCACTGCCATTTGCCTGATAGAAAGTTTATGATTAAATTGGGGCAGCAGACCCGCCACTGCCATTTGCCTTATAGAAAGTTTATGATTAAATTGGGGCAGAAGACCCGCCACTGCCATTTGCCTTATAGAAAGTTTATGATTAAATAGGGGCAGCAGACCCGCCACTGCCATTGCCTGATAGAAAGTTTATGATTAAATTGGGGCAGCAGACCCGCCACTGCCATTTGCCTTAAAGAAAGTTTATGATAAAATTGGGGCAGCAGACCCGCCACTGCCATTTGCCTTATAGAAAGTTTATGATTAAATTGGGGCAGCAGACCAGCCACTGCCATTTGCCTGATAGAAAGTTTATGATTAAATTGGGGCAGCAGACCCGCCACTGCCATTTGTCTTATAGAAAGTTTATGATTAAATTGGGGCAGCAGACCCGCCACTGCCATTTGCCTTATAGAAAGTTTATGATTAAATTGGGCAGCAGACCCGCCACTGCCATTTGCCTTAAAGAAAGTTTATGATTAAATTGGGGCAGCAGACCCGCCACTGCCATTTGCCTTAAAGAAAGTTTATGATTAAATTGGGGCAGCAGACCCGCCACTGCCATTTGCCTTATAGAAAGTTTATGATTAAATTGGGGCAGCAGACCCGCCACTGCCATTTGCCTTATAGAAAGTTTATGATTAAATTGGGGCAGCAGACCCGCCACTGCCATTTACCTTATAGAAAGTTTATGATTAAATTGGGGCAGCAGACCGGCCACTGCCATTTGTCTTATAGAACGTTTATGATTAAATTGGGGCAGCAGACCCGCCACTGCCATTTGTCCGATAGAAAGTTTATGATTCAATTGGGGCAGCAGACCCGCCACTGCCATTTGCCTTATAGAAAGTTTATGATTAAATAGGGGCAGCAGACCCGCCACTGCCATTGCCTTAAAGAAAGTTTATGATAAAATTGGGGCAGCAGACCCGCCACTGCCATTTGCCTTAAAGAAAGTTTATGATTAAATTGGGGCAGCAGACCCGCCACTGCCATTTGCCTTATAGAAAGTTTATGATTAAATTGGGGCAGCAGAACCGCCACTGCCATTTGTCTTATAGAAAGTTTATAATTAAATTGGGGCAGCAGACCCGCCACTGCCATTTGTCTTATAGAAAGTTATGATTAAATTGGGGCAGCAGACCCGCCACTGCCATTTGCCTTATAGAAAGTTTATGATTAAATTGGGGCAGCAG